TCTGAAAGAGGGCTCCCCCACAGTGAGCGTCATGACATCTCCCCAATATAGAAGAGGGGAGGCTGGAATTAGGTTAGGGAAATTGAGCAGCTTTGGCTATTTTGAGAGAGGAAGGGAGAACAGGGAGGAAGAGAAAAAGGGGAGGGAGGGAAGGAAGGAAGGAAGGAAGGAAGGAAGGAAGGAAGGAAGGAAGGAAGGAAGGAAGGAAGGAAGGAAGGAAGACTTTCAGGGAAGTGGGGCAACCGTCTGGGGGAGAAATACAATAGAACTACAGTTGAAGGTGTATGTGTGTGTGTGTGTATCTGTATGTCTGTGTCTGTGTGTGCTGAGTCATTTTAAGCCTGTCCAGTTGGGTTTTATTCTGCTTTCCCTGGAGCAGCTTCTCTCCCCCCCCCCCAGACTGGGGCTGAGTTTATTTGAGGCAACCCATAAAACCAGCATCATCTCCAAATCGGAGGCTGCCCGTGCAGAAACACACACAAACTCTGCTTTCCTTCGGCTGACGTCATGCCAAATCACAGCAGCTCCACTCTCTTTCTTCAGTTTTAGTGGAGGAGCAACTTCTCTCCACGCCCAGCAGCCTTTTCAGAAGGCCAAATAGTCCCAGAGTCCAGGGCTGAATCTTGGCCCTCCTGGACCTTTGCCAGCTTTGACTCCTTCCCTAAAAAACAGTTTCTTTTCAGACGGGAGAGCAATTCTGCATCTTCCAAGCGATTAGATGGGAAGGAAGGAAGGAAGGGAGGAAGGGAGGAAGGAAGGAAGACTTCCGTGTGTCTGTTCTGACATTCTTCGCTCCTCATTGTGGTTTTCTTTAGCCAAGATGTAATGCTGGCTTGTTTAGATGAGCAGAGACCAAAGAGGGATGAAGGCTATGTTAAACTAGGAAAAAGGACTTGGAAAGGGGGAGGAAAAAAAAAAAAAAAGCCAGCCCTTTCATTTCTGGGCGATGGTTGCCATCTGCTGGTAAAAGATACTTGACCATCTTCCTGCTTCCCATCATGGTTCTTGGCAATCCCTAATTTCAAATTCGAAGTTTTCTGCTTTCAGCGACTTCTCTGAGAGGCCCGGAAGACCCTGGACCTCCATTTATCCAGAACGGGATAAGGTCTCCTGCTTGAGCAGGGGTTGGACTAGAAGGCCTCCAAGGTCCTTTCCATCCCCGTCATTCTACTTTCCATGTTCTGATTTATTTTCTTGGTGAAATAAGAGCCTCGTTTTCAACTCTTGATTGAACCAAGGCCAGGCCGATGTTTGATGATCAGCCAAGTTTGCATTTCTTCATTCCCTTCGGGATTTTTATTATTATTATTTTGTCCCTTCCAGCTTTTTAAAAGCATCTCTCAATTATAAAAGTTTCACAAGGAAGAGAATGACTTCATTCCTTGGGTTAAAAAAAAAAAAAGGATTTCCTCCCCCCCTTTACTTGTAAAAGAGGCTGGAGCAATTTCTACGAGGAGTTTTGGAAAGCAAAACAAATCCTTGCAAATAACATTTTTATTGATTTTTGCTCTTTCAACACAAAAGCCTCTGCCAAGGCAACCACAGGCTGTTTTGCAAAAAGGTGGTGTTGGGGCTTAGAAGTCTACAACAACCCTGCAGGGTGGAACACTTCCCCAAACAGCAAATTGGTAGACCGGTTAGAGAAGTATAAGCAGCAGTCCTCAATTTAGGACCATCCATTTAGCAAAAATTCAAAGTTGGTGCTGAAAAAAAAAAATGAAAGAGCCATCTGAACCCGTAAATTCAATGCAGGCGTATCTACTCGCTACCTACATCTACGTTCCATCCTGGAGGAAAAGTGGGCCTACCCTCTTTAAAGATGGCCATTCCTACCTCAACCCTGACTTAATGTTTAAAATTCTTAGGAAACACAGCACTGCATATGATCCTTAGGCAATTAAGAGATTAAACTGGAATCAAAAAGCTGAAAAAAGCTTCACAATGAAGGAGCTGCTAGGCTTGGAAGAGACTGTCATATATAACCGTGCCCAAAAGAAAGATGGCGGCAGTGGTCAAGGGGGCTACCAGATTGCGGCCTTTAATGAATAGAAGAAGGTAAGAAAAAGAAAGACAAGCAACAATATTCATCATTTTTTTTATTTAATTTTTTAAAAAATCTATTTTTTTTATTTTCAGTCTTTTAAAAAAATGGAGTAAAAACGATCATTTAAATAAAAAAAAAGTGGCTCCCTGGCCAGGCAAAATTTCTAGACAGATAATTCCCTGCAATTTTGTTCACAGTGACGGTCATAAAGCAGGTCATCTCGTTGAGTCCACCTGACTTTACAACCTCTTTTACAGCAGTCATTAAGCAAACGGCACAGCCGTTAAGCAGATCCCTTGTTGGCTACGGGGTGCTTTTTTTCATTGTCCTATTTCTGGAAAGTTTGGCATCGGTTTTTCGTTTCGTTTTCGATATTTGAACCCGGGGGCTTGGGGTGTGGTTGCAAAGAAGCCTGTCCTTCCAGCCGGTCTTTCGTTTACGGTAGATTTTTGTTCGGTCGCAGCCGAGGTTGTGGACCGTTTTCTTGTGGCACACAATGTGCACCAGTTTCAAATTATCTGTGGTGAACAAGAGCCGGTAAAAATATTCCCAGTCAATTTCCTTCCCGTCGCAGCCTTTCACGGCCTCCGCTAAGGTGGGAAGGATCACCCGTTTCTTTTCAATTCTGAAACAGAAAAGAAGATTAAGTCATTTCACTCCCTTGATGTTAATCCAGGGGTATTTATAACATCTTGAGGACTAGTGCCAAATCGGTGCTGTGTGAGGGGGTCTGTGGCCACAAAAAGAAGGGGGGGAATTGTGTTCCAGGGCTTACATGTGGTCGAGGTTCCAGGTGCTGAACAGGATTCGGCTTTCTTTGTTCCCGTAAGGGTTGATGGAGTGTCTCCGGGAGCAGTCTTCAGCGTCAAAGGGGCCCTGCAGCCAAGGGGCACACAAAGATGAATATAGGCACTCCTCAACTTACAACAGTTTGTTAGTGACCGTGTCAACGGCACTGAAAAAAGGGACTTAAGACCATTTGAATGAATTGTTGTAAGCCGAAAACTGTCTGTAGGTTTTATTTTGGCACCATCACTATAGGTGGGGTAGCTTGCCTCTCTGTAAAGCCAGCCACGTGCCGGTGGGCACCAGCCTGAAAGACCCTCCCTCTCCCACACTTCCTGCGATGCCTGACTCAAGGTTCAACTTTGGGAAGGGTGAACCAGTCAATGCCACTCGGAAAGGGAAGTAGAAACGCTCAATGCCTTTGCTTCGTCCACTGGCTTCAATTTCCTTGCAACTTACCTGGCAAGAGAACCAGCCTTCCGGTGTGCAGAGACGGCACTTGGTCTCTTCCTTCCGGTCAAAATAAAAGCCATTATATTTTTCCAACTTCAGCTTCTCCAGCATGACTTCAGCGATCCCGCTGAATTTCATTTGGAGGGCGGGAGGGACAGTGGAAATGTAAGCCCCAACCTTTGGCGGGAGAAACACAAGCTTTAAAGATGTTTAAGATGTTGAGCGTCCTTGCCAGTCCGCTCACAAAAGCAAACTTCACAGCGATTTTTGCAAACCGAGCTGATTAAATGCTAATTCAAACCCTGGGTGCGAATGGTGAAAGCATAAAGCATAGTTTGTTAATATGGTAGGTATTGTGAAGGCAGACTTTGCCTCCAAGAATCTAAGGTCAAAAGAAAGACCGGATAGGGAGTTTTGCAAGCCATGTTACCTCTTTCATGTATCCACGGATTCTGCTCTCACAACTATGGCGCATGTAACTGGACTTGGTTTTAAACCGAGATTCAACCCCTAGGAATGGTGGGAAACGGATTCCATCAGTCCCCTGCTTTCCCCAAAAAGGCTCTTGGAGCCTCAGTAGTAGGAAACATTGCAAAGCTGAATGGGATTGTCAAGTTTCTAGTCCTTAAGGTTGTGTTTCCCAAAACTCTTTTGACATCCTGAGCATTTTTTCACCCATACACCAGGCAGTCAGAAAACGTCAGCTCAGAACTGACCTTCAAACCACGTCTCGTCTTCCTTCCTACTTTCTGCAGAAATGTTTTCATTGAGGTTCTGAATCAGGTCAGCCAGTAACCTGCACCTCTTAGGAGCCTCCTCACCCGACAGAAGCCCCTGAGCTGCGCGGACGACGCCGGAGGAACAGCTGGAAAAAGTGCTCAGGAAGCGCTCGATCTCACCGACGTCTGCAAGGAGGAAAGGAACGGCGAAAAAGCAACCATTATTCCTTCTGGCAGATGGTAATGACAATCTGTGTGTGTGTCTGTATTTATATGCATCTGTGTGTGTATAGATATATATTGTACATATATTGTACATAATATATATTACACACACACACGTTTACGTATATGTAAAAGAATCTTTGAGGTTTGCACATTTCCTCGTACGTCAAGTTGCTAGTCCTCAGGGTGGCATTCGTGGAGACAGTCAAGGCACTAGTCCTCATCGAGGGAAGGTTTTTTTTCTAAATTTCTAGCAGCGCTAGAAACCAACCCTACTTGGGACTGGGTGGAAGAGGGGACAGGGGCCTTGTTGTGGGTTGTGTGTGTGTTTCTGTGTCCCCCACTCACATCCGCTCCACTCCTCCCCAGGGCGCAGCAGGATCAGCTCGGCGTCCTCGGGCAGGGCGCGGAAAGCCTCCTCGCTGACTTCGACGCCATCCTCGTAGCGGCCGAGCCGGCAGCCCGCCACCGAGGGCGGCTGTGGGGAAGCGGAAAAGCCCGTCAAGGGAAGCGGTGCTCAGGCAGAGATCCGGCGTCGCCCACCCCTTCTTCCTCCTCCTCCCGGCCCGCCTCGCCCGCCCGCCCACCTCCAGCCGGCAGGCCTTGAGCAGCAGCTCCGGGAGGCTCCTGGCCGCCAGCCCGTATTTGCGCCCTCCGGGCCCCGTCCGCACTTTGAAAGCCTTGGCCGCCATCGCGCCGGAAACAGCGCCCGGCGCCTCCTGCGCTCCGATTGGCCGGGCGGCTCCGTCACCGGACGTGGCGTCAGAAGCCTCCGATTCTCCCTGGCTCGTTCGTCCTTCCCTTCCCACCGGCCGCCACTGTACCGCCGCACACGCGCCTGCGCAGTCGAGTCGAAGCGGTTGCTAGGGGAACAGAGGCCCTAGTGATGGAGCCGGAATAAAGTAGGAGGGCAGGGGGGCGAGGCGGGTGGGCTTCTCTCCGGCTCCCCTCCAACCGGGGGGGCTGGGGGGACTCCCTTGGGGCGGGCGGGAAGGGGCGGGGCCTCTCCCGGGGCGGAGGCTTGTGGGACTGCCCGCGACTAGATGGGGACAGCGGACAGGGGGCTAAGAAAGGGGGGGGGTGTTGTCTTATTACTATTATGGCTCTTCTTAGCGGGGACGGGGGGAGGCATCGCCGGTCCCGAGTGGAGCCAGTCAAGCGAGCTGTCCCCCCACCCTGCAGGCCTTTTCATGGTGGTGAAGGACGAGCGAGCAGAAGAGGCCGCCCCCGCCTGCCGCGACGGACGGATCGGCTCCAGGTAGGCGGCGAGGAAGCCGGGCTGGGGAGGGGGGGGACATGCATGCGAGCGCAGGATGTCAATCTAATGCATGCAAAACTCACGTGCATGCAAAACATGCCATTCCGATACATGCAAAGCACCTGCATGCAAATATGCCACTCCAATACATGCAAAACACGTGCAAATGCAAGCAGAGCACATGCAAAGCATGCCATTCCAAAACATGCAAAGCATTTGTGCGTGCAAACACAGTACAAGTAAAAAATTTTCGATTTCTGTAGCTACCCAGAGTCATTTATTGAGACGGAGGGCAGAACGTGTCAATAACTTACATCTTCAAAGCACTTTTGGGTGATCCCTAATAATATCCAAATACATGTGCCCAGGCCCGTAGCCCCAGGTGTATGAAGGGCCCCAACGCCTTTTTGTTTTTATTTTTATTTTTAACACGGTTTCCCACAGCCGCTTGCTGAGTTGAGCAATTGTATAAACCAATTAATTAAAATCAGCAAATAAAAGACAGTAAATTCAAAAATGTAAGATGGGCCTTTGACTAACATTCAGAGTTGCTTGCATTCAGACCATGAAGTTAAAACGCTGTATTCTTTGCTGATGAGAAATCCGTACTTTTACTAAAACTTGGCTGTTCTTTCTTCCCAGTTAGCACAAGAGAGCAGGATGCCACACAAGATTGGGTTCATTGTTATAAGTTCATCCGGACATGAGGATGGCTTCAGTGCCAAGGAACTGATGGTGCACGCGCCAACGGTCAATGGATGGAGGTCATCAAGGTCAGGCCCCAAGAAATTCTAGATATTTTTTTCCTTCCTTCCTTCCTTCCTTCCTTCCTTCCTTCCTTCCTTCCTTCCTTCCTTCCTTCCTTCCTTCCCCTGGTCATTGAGTGTAATATAATATTCCCTCCATTTCAACCCTGGCATGGGAAATCAAAGGCCTCTCTTTTTCTTTATTTTCAGACTCTGCCAATATCCCCAAGAAATAGTCCTCCAGATGGTGGAACGGTGCCGAATTCGAAAGCTGCAACTCCTGGCTCACCAGTATATGATCTCCAGCAAAATTGAGTTCTACATCAGCGAAAACCTGCCCGATTATTTTGCGCCCTACAAATCGGAACGATTCCAGAGGCTGGGGTGAGCTTTTACTTCTCTTGAGATGTGTCGGTATTCGTGCCTGAGTCCCTTAGGGGTCACCCAGTGGAAGCAGGAGGTGAGTGGTCCCAGCTCCATCGCTGATTCCAGATCAAACTATAAAAGCAAGGTGCAGTTCCAAATAAGCAGCTGCAGATCCTAAGACACACATTTGACAGGCTGACCCTCTGCTTGGTCTCCTTTCCTCTGGAACTTGAGAGAGAATTTGTGGATAGCTTAGGATTTCAAGCTAATAATTTTAAATTTAGAGTGTCTGTGAAAAAGACGGAGGTTCACCCAACACTTCCACACAAACCTTCTGTATTGGCAGCTGACTAATTCACTCCAGATATCTTTTTTCTTAGAAAAATATTGAGCTTTTGAAGGCAGGTGATAATCCAGCAGGGTTCACAATACTTGTAAAATATAATCTGCATTAAACCTCTTCCCCCCCCCCACTTCTACAGTTATGTCTCCCTTTCCGATAACGAAAAGACCAGCTATCGGGCCCGGGAGTTGAAATCCGTCTACGTGGATGCAGTCGGACAATATTTAAAGTTGACTTTCCACAAAAACTACGCCAATCGGTACAATCTGTACAGCCAGGTAAAACAAATTTAACCCCAAGATGGTTAATGGGAGCAGCTTAGAATAACTTCCCTAGCTGTGCTTTAAAAAAAAGCCGTCCCTCACCTTCTTGATCCTGAGGAAGATTTTTTTCTCCCCCCCCCCCCAAAAAAAATTGGCTGTAAATTTAATCTCTTGACACTTTTGGTGAACTGGAGGGGGATGTTTTTTTCCAGAATCCCAGCAGACCCTCCCAACTGAGTCTCTTGTTTTTCCAGGTTGCTCTTGTGGCAATAAATATCATTGGGGAACCTGCAGATTTGAGCCCTGAGAACAGCCAGGTGAGTCTGGGAAATTTGGAGGGAGGGGTTGGACTGAGCAGGGGGTTGGACTAGAAGACCTCCAAGGTCCCTTCCAGTTCTGTTTTTGTTGTTGTTGTTGTATATTTAAGTGTTGCTGTCATTCACCCACATTGTGCCCATTCCAGCTAAAAATTCTATTTGTTGTTGTTTTGTTTTCAAGTCTTCCAGGGAGAAGCTGATCGACCATTATCTAGGGAGCAATTTGGATGACTCGGCCTTGGACGGGAGCTACCCTGGGTGAGGATGGCCTAACTGGGAGGCCTCTCCGTGGCCATTTTCCTTCCCTCCCTCCCAACGGCCGTGCTCATGGCACCATCCCAAACTGCCGTTCTCCCCTTCATTCCAGGAAGGCCGACGCCATTTCTCCACTGGATGATCTGGCCTTTGACATGTACCAGGATCCGGAAGTGGCCCAGATCATTCGCAAGCTGGACGAGAAGAAGCACGAAGCGGTGCGCCAGGAACACTACGATCACGCCAAGAAGCTCAAGCAAGCCATCGCAGATCTGCAGAAGGTAGCAGGGGCTGAGGGAGGGTGGGGAAGGCGTCCCACCGGGAGAGGTGGAAAGGGACTCGGCTGCCTTGAGGTCCTTCCTTTCTCGTTCTCTTGGACATGCAAAACTTGTGAGGGATTGTTCTCTGTTGAATATCAAAAGTTCTGCTTGTTGGACTGGAGTAACCAGGTTCCTTAACCAAGATTGGTCTAGTTTTACCTGTCTTTGTGTGTACATTGGATGAATGGCTGTGGCAGCAATGCCCAATCCACTCATTTAATTATTAATGTTCTCCGTTGGATATTTGGGTGCTCACTTGCTCCGTGCTTTAGAAGTTTTCTCTGCTATGACCAATTGAACCACTCCGGGCTCTTGTTTCAGGTCGGGGAGCGGCTGGGACGCTACGAGGTGGAGAAACGGTGTGCCGTCAAGAGGGAGGACTACGACTTGGCCAAGCAGAAGAAGCAGCAGATGGAAGACTATCGTGTCAAGGTCTACCAGCAGTTGGAGCTTCATAACCTCTTGGACCCAGATCTCGCGGTAAGTGGAATATCTCCAGGAAGGAATCCCTAAGCCCCTCTGGAAGCTGACCCTTGGCAACCCCCCACCCGCTTAAAAGAACCCACCCCCATTAAAAACTGTTCTTCTCTCCCAAGACTAGGTCAGAGGTTGGGAGTTGTAGGATATTGTAGGCCCATAGTTATTTTAGATCAGAGTTTCTCAACCTTGGCAACGTGAAGATGTGTGGACTTCAACTCCCAACTCTAATGCATTCCTTTTGATGTGTATCCCCATTGTGGCTTGTTTACTCTCTTCTAATCCCCTTCTCTGCAATCTTTCCATTCTGGAATGAATGAACGAATTTCTTTCATACACTCAGATCCGGCGGCTACCTGACCTGCCACTCGAGCCTGTGGCTCAGCCCACCACGACCCTCCAGCAGAAGAAGCCCCTGCCGTCCCCCTGGCGGGAGAAAGCTGAGCCAGAGAGCCCCGCCTCCTTGCCCCCCGAGAAGCCCCCCGAAGTCCCCTCGCCTGAGCCGGCCCCTTCTCAGGCCTTCTCTCCCCCGCTGGCACGGGCGGCTCCCAACGCTGCAGAGGCCTTCCCGAAGATCAGCGTAAGTTTGGGTCAGCTCTCGGTCCTGCTTCTCCCGCCCCCTTTCCTTAGCCACGCCCCTTCCTTCGCTCCTCTTCCTTTTCTCTCTTCCTTCTTTTCCTTTTATCGTTCACTCTTCTTCCTTCTCTCCTTTTTACCCTTCCTTCTTCCTCTCCTCAAGTACCAAATTCTCCAGCGGGAGACCTTTTCCCACAGATTTCTCCTGACCTTCACATCTCCAGCCCTAGACACAACCCTGGCCCCCCTCCCATTCTCGCTCTGTGCAAACGTGGCCCCTTCCCACGTTGGTTGCCAAGCTTGCTCGACTTGAGAGTGCCGTTGGGGGTTCTGGGAGCTGCACTCCAACCGTGGAGGGACGCTCTGCGGCCACCAGCTTTGACCGCCGGGCCCTTCTCTCCCAGGTCGAGTTCTTACCTTACGACGAGCGGCCCCTCCCGGCCATCCGCCGGCAGCAGGAGGAGGGCTTTCCCTTGCTGGAGCCCGAGATGACCGAGGAAGAGGCCGGGGACACGGCCAGGGGCGGGGCGGTGGGCGACCCGGAGCCTCTGACCGAGAAGGCCCTGCGGGAGGCCAGCACCTCCATCGACGTCTTCGGGGAGACGCTGGTAAAGAGGGAGGGAGGAGGTCAGGGGTCAGGGAGGGGCGTCCGGAGCTCTTGGACTTTGGGACGGGAGGGGGACGGGACACCCACAGGCTGTGAAGGGAATCTGGCTTCCCCATTGATTTTGTCGGTCGGAAATGTCGAAAAGGGGATCACGTGAGCCCCTTTATGCGACCGTCATAAATATGAACCAATTGCCAAGGGTCTGGATTTTGATCGCATGACCCTGGGGGACGCTGCAGGGTTTGTAAGTGCGAAATGCGGCCCTAACTCGCTTCTCCCGGGCCGTTGTAACTCTGAACCGTCACTAAACAAATGGCCGTAACTGGAGGACTCCCTAGGGCTAGCAGAGGGCAGCTCTCGGTCTCCCGCCAGGCCCCTCTCCTTCCTTCCCGCCTTGCTTTGCCCAGGTGGCCGGCGCCTACTCCAAAACCTGGTCGTATCGCGAGGACTCGTTGCTGGCCATCTACAAGAAAATGATCGAGGCTCCCACCAGCACCCCCAAGGAGGAGCTCAAGAACATGCTCCGAGGGGCCGTCTTCCTCGTCGTGAGGGCCATCAAAGATATCGTCTCTTCGGTGAGGGAAGGCGAAAACCGGGAGGCCGAGAGGGTTGGGGTCACCTGGGTAGGGGCTCTTTATCCCCCCCACCCACCCCCCGGTTCCCCAAAGCTCTGCCCCATCCCCCGGTCTCCTGCGTCCCGCTTCCAGCTGACGCGAAGAAGAAAAGCAGCTGGTTGAGGTTCCTTCGAAACTGAGAACGGCTCACCTGGAGGGTTCTGTGTTGCTGTTCTCTTGTCCTCCTCTCTTCAAACGCGGCAGGTTTTCCACGCCTCCTTGAAGCTCCTGAAAATGAGCATCACACAGTACATCCCCAAGCACAAACTGGGCAAGCAGGAGACCGTTTTCTGCCTGGAGCGGACCTTCCCCAACCTCCTCTCCCGCACGGGGGACTCCTCGGCCCGCCTTCGGACAGCCTCCGCCAACTTCATCCAGGTGAGTCTACCTGCAGGGAAACTCTGCAGCCGATTGGTTGACATTCCATCCCCAGTGTGGCCAGAGACTCGTCTTTTACTGAAATTTCCATGCGGTTTTAAAAATTCACATTTTATTTTATTTTTTTATGTCCTTGCCTAGTTTTTTTCTCTGTTAACGTTTTTTTTTTTTTCTTTTGGATTTTGGATTTGGATTTTCTGAATGAATCAGTAAGCTGCCCTGCCTCTTTGCAGGAGATGGCCCTTTGCAACGAAGTGAAGCCTCTGCAGATCATCCCTACCCACCTGGTGCAGCCCCTGAGGCCCCACTGCCCTACACACCTCGCCATGAGCCAGGTGGAGCTGGTGGAACGCTTGCTGAAACACCTGGGCACCGAGAACTCCGGCTTCACGGTCGATAACGTCATGCGAGTAAGAACTCTGAGGTCCTATAACCTCCCACAATTTGTTCTCAGATTCCTTGTCGCTGCAGATCCTAAATGATTATGCCAGATGCTCACCTTTGAGCCTGATTGGGAAGCTTTCTGGTCTCAGTTTGCCACAGGAGCTCTGGAGCACCGTGTCTTCGAGGTGCGGGAAACGGCTCTCCGGATCATCTTGGACATGTATCGGCAGCACCAAGACAACATCCTGGATTATCTGCCCCCCGACGACGCCAACACCCGGAAGAATGTGCTGTACAAGACCCTGTTCGATGGCTTCGCTAAAATCGACGGCCGACTGACCGACGCTGAGCTCAAAGTAAGGGAGGAGCCTTCGTCAGGAGTCCGGCCTTCATCCCAAGGAAGTGTTGTGCCCATGTGGGTGTTTTGTGGGTCTGCATGGTTCATTCTGAAAAGCCCTGGCCCAGTTCTTAGAGGTCCAAGTGTGTGCCGACGTCTCATGACCCAGCTAGATTACATCGTCAGTCTTAGAAGGGAGTGGGGTTAGGTGAATGGAGGAGGACAGGGGCCCCTTGGTGCTCTCTGGGCTTGGTGGCTTTCTTGAAGACATTTCATGACCCGGTTAGGTGGCCTCATCAGTGCTAGAAGGAAGGGGGGTGCAGAGAGGAGGTGGAGAGGATCCCCATTCTACAGGAGCCTTCCGTGCCGTGCCTGATGCTGGCTCAGGGGCTCCACGGTTGTCTGAACAGGCCCAGAAGAAGTCAGCGACTGAGGAAGCAGAGAAGGAGAAGAAAGATGAGATCAAGGCCTTGCAAGGTCAAGTGGCAGCCCTGAAGGAGATGCAGACGGACGCCCAAGCCGACAAGGTATCCAGGGGCATCCAAGGCAGCCTGACAATGCCCATCGTCCCCAGCCAGCATGGGTCTCACCAGATGTTGCCCTCCAGCACACCTGTGGGCTGTCAGCCTGAGAAGGGCAGCTCCTGCCTCCTGCTGTTGCTCGGGGGGCCCTAAATTGTCAGCTGCCATGCAGGTTTCAGGGGTACCGACAGAACCCCCTTTTCTGCCCCGTTAATTAAGCTGGCTGTCAGCAAAGATCCGGCCTTTCTGTTGCTTCTGACTTTCTTAATTTCTTTTTAGGAAAAAGACAGGGATTTGCAGAAACCGTCCAAGAAGGCTGCCCAGCCCGTCCCGGCAGATCCTCTGGATGACCACTCATCGGTTGCCAACTACCTGGACAAGTGAGTCGTTGGTGGGGCCGGCCTAGCCCTGGGGATGGGATGGCCGGCAGGCAGTAAGGCCAGTCTCCCTGCCTTTAAGGAGGACGAGCATTCTTCCCCTCCTGCTGGGTGGACAAACCATACATTCAAGCTAAGCTGCTTTATTGCTCCTGCCTCTCCACCAGAACCTAGTCCAGCAGTGGTCAGCACTAAAATTGGCACTAGATAAGAGTCAACAGAATTCAAGATGGGTTGGGTCTAAGATTGTTTGTGGGAATGTAAGAATCTTTCCTTCCTTCCTTCCTTCCTTCTTTCCTTCCTGGGTCTTAATTTGTCATTTTCCCTCTTCTTCCTTCCTCCTTGTCAGCCTCTGTATCTTTTGTGGGGAGAGAGACGACTCCTTCACCGAGGAAGGGCTGGACCTCCATTACTGGAAGCACTGCCCCATGCTGACCAGGTGTGACTTCTGCAAGCAGGTGAGCCCTCCCACCTTCCCCCAACAGCTTCCCTCCTGGAGCTGCGGGTGCTCCATCGTTGGAGGTTTTGAGGGGAGATTCAACTGCAGTTTCTCTCGTCCAGCCTGCCCTTCCCTTCCGCTCATTCGTTATTCCGCCATGTTCATTTTGAAAAAAAAAACAAAAAAAACACCAAACCTGTTTGCAAACCAGTCTAGGCTAGTTGCTCACAGAGACCTGGCCCCAAAGGGTTGGGAACGCAGGCCTCGCTTCTTTGGGGGAGCCCAGGGGTTCTCTTGCCAGCCTGGGGGAGACACACACAGACACACACACACACAGATCTCGCCATCGTCTCAGATCAAGGACCTCTTCTGTGTCCCCCCCCCACCGGGCAGGTGGTGGAGATCGCCAGCCTGACCGAGCACTTGCTGACAGAGTGTGAGAAGAAGGACAACTTTGCCAAGTGTTCCCGTTGCTGCGAGGCCCTGCCGAAGGAGGAGCTGGCCCGGCACGTCAAGGGGAGATCCTGCAACCGTCAGTCCTTTTTTTCCCTTTTGGGGGGGGGTCCTTTGGGCCTCTGGGACCCTCCCCCAGAGGCTGACGTCTCCCGTCTCTTCTCTCCAGCGGCCAAGTCTGAGAAAGTGGCCAACCGCTGTCCGTTATGCCACGACAATTTTACCCCAGGCGAGGAGGTGAGAGCTGCGGGCGTGGAGGGAGGGGCCGCTCCTCAGGATAACAGAGTGGGGGGGGAGGACCAGGGAAGGGTCCTCTTCCTGTCCTACAGGACCAAGGACAGGGCCTGACTCAGTGAAAGAGGGGAAGGGGCTATGGGACAATCCAACACACCAGGGGAGGCCCCACTGCCACCCAACCTCCCTTCTTCAGCTGGGGGTTGCCAGCCTGTCGTCCGCTGATCCTCCTCTTCCTCCTTCAGACCCTCTGAACCATTTTTCCCCTCTCTCCCTCCCCCTCGCCCCCCCAGGCCTGGAAGGTGCACCTGATGGGCAGAGACGGCTGCCGCATGAACCCGAGGCGCTTGCCTTCTCTGAACAAGACCTTGCCCACGCAGACCGTCACCGGTAAAGACCCCCTCGTGTTTCTCCCCCCCCCCATAAACTGGGGTGCCCTCATTTCTCCCCAGAAATCAGGGCTACCAAACGCACAGCTGGCACTTTCAGCTGGGAATCCGTGTCTTACTAGCCCCAGGTACTTACAGGTAATCCTCGAGTTACGTACCTTGAGCCCATCACTGGCAGCAGACTTTGAATGGTGGAGACAGCAGCTCCCCCCCCCCTTCCTATTTTCCCATCTCTTCCTCAGAGGGGGGTTAAATGCACACACAGACACACCCTTTTCTCTTCTTTTTACTTTTTGCAGGCCGGGCTGGCGGAACCGTCCTGAACCGGTCGGGACCCCTGGGAGTGAAGCTGCGGTCGCCCACGGTGGGGAGCAAAATCCCCACCCCACGAGGAGGGTTGAATAAAAATACTGGCAGAACGTATGCAAAGCGATGACGCCGATCCCTTCTTTGCCCTCCCGCCCCCCCCCCAGGGGCCACGTACTCTTTCTTCCACTGCAGTAGGGCTTGCGTTAGGGGGAGGGCCCAGCAGCGGTCTGAAAGGGGCTGTCCTCCGCCAATGCCCCCCCCACACCTCTTATTTACAACATCTGCACTCCAATATCTATATAGGATAATGGGGTTGGAAGGGGCCTTGGAGGACATCTAGACCAACCCCCTGCTGAAGCAGGAGACCTTATACCAACCCAGTCAAATGGCTGAAGACACCCCCCCCCCCCAGGGATGGAGGGCAGTCTCTTCCATTGCTTCACAGGTCTCACAACCAAGACATTTCTCCGTAGTTCTAGGTTGCTTCTCTCTTTAATGGTCTTCCATCTGATTCAAACATAGAATCACAAGACTGGAAGGGACCTTGGAGGTCTTCTAGCTCAACCCTCTGTCCATGGCAGGAGACCTTATAGTATCCCAGACACATGGCTGTCCAGTCTCTTCTTAAAAACCTCCAGCGACGGAGCAGCTACAACGTGGGTACCCCAAGATTGCACCTGTAAGGTGGGGCGGTGTATAAATTTAACGAATCAGTAAATATTCCCTAGGTGAGTAATTAAAACCAAGGCAGAAGGCAGATTAGAAGCTCCTATCTCTGGCAGATAGTAGAGCTGTCAGAATTTGTAAGATGTGTTGCTTAAGGGTAGGAACCCTTAAAGGGCTTTTCAACACACTCCACACTCTTTCCCCGGAAGGCAGGCCAAACAGAGTCCTGCAAAGTAAAAAATTAAACCTGCGAATGGCCAAGGCCTTTTGGCAATAGCAGCCAACTCCTGACCCTAAGGGTCAAGCTTTCCCCATTGCCCAGCCTGGCAAAATCTGAAAATTTTTCCTTGCAGGCTTGATCAAAAAGAAAAAATAATGCAGGGGTTTTTTTGGCATTATTTTGGCTTTTTATGCCTCAAGGAGCGGTTGGGTGGGTTAATTATGATGTCCTGAAAGTCACCAAAATGGAGTTAACTTTGTTCAGGGTTGCAGCCCTGTCAGGAGCCTATCCAGAGAAATAAAAAGCAGTTCCCTTTTTCGAAGGCAGGAAAGGTTTTATAAACAACTGAGCAAAGGAAGTAGAAATTATGCATAGAATCCTAATCAAGTAAAGAAAAATCTCTTCTTGGTCTTATCCTTCCAAACCTCGCTTGAAAAGACGGGTAGCGTTTTTTGTTTTTATTTTTTTACAAAAAGGCATTTTTTTAAAAAAAACAAATTGATTTGTATCTCTTTGAGGTATCTCAACCAAGGGCTTATGCACAGGTTTCTGAAATGCATCAATATATAGAAAAATACTGTTTTCTGACAGATACCTCAGTCTCCTTATGTCATCTCCCCATCCTATCTTAATTTGCTCAGGACAGGCAAGAATCTTATTTTAAGAGGGTTATTAAATCAAACCAGGTTGCAGGAAATCAGCATTCCTTTTTTTAAAGGGCACTCCATGAAGATCAGGGTTTATGACTTGATTGGGGGGGCTCCGCTGAGCCACTTTGTCTGGGGTTGGGGTCCACATGTAGGAATTGTAACGAGCACTTTCTATTATGCTGTGAACCCGCTTGCTATTTATTGTCCTCTATGACAAAACAGTTGGGAAAGAAAGATTATGGAAAATCAAAAAGTACCTTCTCCATCATCTGCGGGCCTTGTGGAGAAACCTCTGGCCCGTCTCAAAGTTTGAAAAGCACATCTTGTGGGGGGGGGGAATCCTTTCAATTCGCCAAAGTGGAGCCCTACCTCAAAGGAATCGGTTAAGTCCTTGAGGGATGGGGGCCGTTTTTATTCCGACTGTTTTAAGAGCAAATAAGCTGGATAGCAGGTCTGATTCCAGAATTCTGCTGGCACCGTGCTACATAGAATCACGTTACACTCCTGTTTGTATTTAACTGATAATAAAGCTCTGAATTTCAGCTAATGGGTGTCCGGTCCTTTTTATACGTCTGTTTTCTGCTCATCCAGTTCTGTTTTTTTATTACTGTTTTTGCAGCATCATTCTCGGCTCAAAACAAATTGGTGTTTTAGAACTAAGAGCCATTTGGGTATCGCGTTTAAGGCATCAGGCTAGAAACACGGCGACCGTGAGTTCTAGTCCCACTTAGACACAGAGTCAGATGGGTGAAGTTGGGCCAGTCCCTCCCTCTCAGCCCTAGGAAGGAAGCAACAACAAACATAAAATTCTTGCCTATAAAACAGCAGCCATTTGTCCACGCAGTGACCCAACAAGCGAACCTCTTCAGTGCTAGAAGGGAGTTGGGTGTGAGGAGAGGAGAGAAGGACTGAGGGGTCCCTGGTGCTCTCTGAGCTTGGTTGTTTCCTTGTAGACATTTTGTGATCCAAAGTTATCCGTGCTAGAAGGGAGGGGGTGGTCTCTAAAGAGGAAGAGGGGGACAGTGGACTATGGGGTCCTTGGTAGTTGTCTTGCAGACGTTTCATGACCCAACCAGGGAGCAGATTCAGTGCTGGTGAAGATGGATCTACAGAAGCATCGACGAGGCTCCCCAGTTGGGTCATGAAACATCTGCAAGAAGACAGCCAAGTTCAGAGAGCACCGAGGACCCTGCAGGAGAAGATCCCCGGCAACAAGGTAGACAGATTCAATTATAGCAGTGAGGAAGGAGATGCCATTGGAAGACCTGGAGGATCCTTCTGGAGAAGCTCTATGGGCTTGCTTGGGATCAATGCTGGCTAGGTTAACCCAAAAGAGACCATGATGGGCAGAGGCAGCATTAGAAGACCTAGTTGGGACACATCGCCCTGGAGAAGGTCCGTGTAGGGCTTGGCACTTCCTTGATGCCACTAATCCGGGGGTCTCCAAACTGGGACTTGGGGACTTCAATTCCCAGAATTCCTCACCCAGGGAATATTTATTGATTTCTTTGTTAAATTTGTTTCGTTGCTCTGATCAGTCATTAGGAAGGAGAAGGGGAGCACCAGCAGCACCACTGGAAGGAAGATCTGGAACCAGCTCGGGCACAGATCAATGAGGGCAAAAAAATCTCTTTTAAGGTCTGAAAGGTGGATGGACTTCAACTCCCAGAATTCCCCAGCCAGGAAGTCCGCCCATCTTAAAAAACAGTCCCAACTTGAGAAGCATCGCTCCTAAAATGTCTCGGCGCCTGCGCAAAAGAAGCCGAGCGGGGAAGGGAATCGACGTGACGTAGCGGGAAAGAGGACCGTAGAGGACGTCATCCGCGCGCGCCGGAAGCGGCCGGCGGAGCGAGCGAACATGGCGGCGCCCGGGGGAGTCGAGGAGTGCTGGCCCGAGCTGGCGGCGGCCGTGGCGGGCGGGCGGCGGGAAATGCGGCTGGAGGCCGGCGAGGCGCTGGAGCGGCGGGTCCGCGAGGCCGGCGGTCGCCTTCCGGCCGCGCTGGGCGAGCTGGGCGCGGCGCTGCGCTCTCTGGAGGTCCGCGGCTGCCCGGAGCTACGCGAGCCCGGTGCGGCGCTGGGCCTTCTCTCGGGCTTGCAGGCGTTGGCGCTGCCCGGCTGCGCGCTGGGCCCGGCGGGGCTCTCCCTGGCCGGGCGCCTGCTCCCGATCGGGCTGCGGTCGCTCGACCTGTCGGACAATGGCCTGGAGGAGCTGCCGCCGCAGCTGGGCGGGCTGGACGGGGCCGGGGAGGAGGAGGTGGGCGGGGAGGCGCCGGCCCTGCCCGAGCTGCGGGTACTAAACCTGCGCCGCAACCGGCTGCGCGGCTTGGGCCCCGGGTTGGCCCGCTCGGCCCCCGCGCTGCAGGAGCTGCTGCTGGGCGGGAACCGGCTGCGGGCCCTCCCGGGGACGATGCTGCCCCCGCCGCCCGCTCAGCGGGGTCGCCGGCCCGGCCCGCCGCCCTCGCCCCTGCCGCTGCTGGGCCTGCTGGAGGCAGCCGAGAACGAGCTGGAGGTGCTGGGCGCCGAGGTGGCCCGCCTGGCCGGGCTGAAGGTGAGCCAAGGTGGGAGGGGATGCCGGCATGGTAGATCCTCCAGACTCTCCATTAAAGCAGAGGCTTACATATGCATAGGGTCTCCTGTTCAAGCTGCAGTTGGACTAGAGGACCTTCCGAGGTCCCTTCCAACTCTGTTATACTGTATTCTGAGGTCCATACTCAAAATGGGGAGGAATTTCCTGGCAGTGAAAACAATCGGTGGAACGGTTTAAAAAGCTGTGGATGCTCCATCGCTAGAGGCCTTCAGGAAGAGAATGGACAGCGAACGGTCTCCTGCTCGAGCGGGGGGGGGGCTGGCTGAGGAATTCTGGGAGTTGAAGTCCACAAGTCATAAAAGGGCCCAGTCTGAAGACTCCTGCCCTAGGGATTTGCTCTCTTTTGCACTCTTTCCTTGGTTGAAATAGCTAGCTCTGTTTTCTTTCTCCAGACTTTGGACGTCTCCAATAACAAGCTCTCCGAAATCCCAGCGGAGCTGGCCGACTGCCCAAAGCTGAAGGACGTCAACCTGAAAGGCAACGCCCTCAAGGACAAACGGCTGGAGAAGATGGTGAACGGCTGCCAGACTAAATCGATCTTGGAGTATCTGCGCCGAGGGAGAGGCAAACAGGAGGGTGGCGCCGAGAGGGAAGAAAGCCGGAAAAAGAAGCGGGAAAAGAACAAGAAGAAAACAGGTAGCGATGACGAACTGGAAGACACCCAAAAACTGCTTGTGAAAATTCTTCACATCTCTGACAACTTGGCACCGTTGGTGGTGAAAGCCGGCCCCAGTGCGAAAGACGTCCGCCCTTACATTGTGTGCTGTGTGGTGAAAGGCATGGATTTCAGCACAGGCAATGCTCTGAAGAGGTTCCTCTCTGTGCAGGTGGGGCTCCGAAAAGGACACTAAGCCATTGGGAGCAGGAATAAGGAATAGTTCAAAATAAATGTAAAGCTGTTTTTCTTTTAATCCCACAAACAGACAAAACTCCACGAGGACCTTTGTGAGAAGCGAACAGCAGCCACCATTGCGACTCATGACCTGCAGCTGGTGAAAGGACCACTTGTTTATGAAGCTCGGGCCCCAGAGGAGTTGAAGGTGGGCTGTGCTCCAGCAGAGGGTTTCTGGAGAGGAGGGGGAGTAGGAGGAGGGGTCCTTGGTGCTCCCTGAGCATGTTTGCTTTCCTTGCAGACATTTCAGGACCCATTTAGGTAACATCATCAATGCAACCCCCCCCCCTTCTGGCCCTGATGATGTTCCCTAGTTGGGTCATGAAACATCTGTAAGAAAACAACCCAGCTCAGAGAGCACCCAGGACCCCACAGATATAAGTTGCTTGCCTGTTTCTGCCTCAGTCTTTCTCTCCGAAGCTGCCTGAGGTCCTGCCCATTTTGGAACGGATGTGATGAAACGCTTCCTGTTTTTCAGATCGTCCCCCTGGGCCGGAAGGAGACAAAGGCCAACGACCTCCTTCGCCAATTGCAGGCCGAAGCTGAGGAGCAACGGAAACAGAAAAAAAGACAGAATATCTCTGGATTGTACAAGTGCGTCATGAGTTCGAGGCAGAGGAGAAAAAGTAGGGTGGAGCATGGGTTCAAGAGTTACCACGTGTGTAGATTAAACGGGGTTCCTGGCAGGGTTTCCTAAAAGAAACAAAGATTTTGTGCTCAAATAAACTCAAATTCTTCATTAAAATTTAAATTTAAACTAAATTACCCTTATACGACCATAATAGTGTCCTAATAATGTAGGCCGCCTTTCTTCCAATCTTTGCAGGTACCTTCAGCTCCTGGATGGGAAAGAAAATTATCCCTGCCTGGCTGATGCCGAAGGTGCCGTGATTTCGTTCCCTCCTATTACGAACAGTGAGAAAACAAAGGTGAGGAAGGGGCTTGACGGAGCAGCGGGTGGGGGAGGGGCTGGGATTCCTGCAATATGGAGACCAGTTCTTCAGTCTGCAAATCACAGCCAAGCCAGCCTCGTGTAAATGTATTGTAATCTAGGAGGAAACATAGCAAAGATAGCTCTTACAAGCACAGTTGGGACTTGACTGCACTGATGCAGTGATCATGAAGCCGAACCAACGTCAGTGCAAGGACTGGTTGAAAATCACTTTTTCCAGGGCTGTTGCAACTTTGAACGGTCGCTAAATGAATAGTTGTAAATCGAGGACTTCTTGAAAACGCAGGGATGGTTTTTGCTCACATTTCCATTTGGTCTTTTGAAGCTTGGGAAAACCACCACCGATTTGCTTCTTGAAGTGACCAGCGGCACGAGCCTTCAGCTGTGCAAAGATGTGATGGACACCCTCATTGTGGTACGTCCTCCTTCCCCCCACTCTTCCCCGCCTCTCATATCAGTGCTGGGAACCATGGGCCTCGGGCTGTTGGGAATTGCACCCCACAGCTGGGACCACAAGGTGTGCATCCAGCCTAATAACAGGTTCACGGGCAGCCCCCAACTTACGACTACAGTGGGACCTGCCAATTCTAGTTAAAAGTCATGACAGACGTAAAGTGTGTCAGTCATGTGACCGGGCCTATTTTACAGCCTATTTTGCAGCCAACATGGCGATGTTACAGTAAACTCTGTGGTCATTAAATGAGCCCGTTGTTCGTAGTGGGCGTTTTGGCCAGAACCCAGAAGTAAACCCTGGTTTCAGCAAAAATATCATAAATCGTGGCTGGGTAACAGCAGGACGCGGCAAAATGCTGGCCAGTTGCCAAGTGCCCAGAATTGACCAGAGTGGGGTGTGGAACCCCAGAATCAGGTCAAATACTTTTTTGGGAGGGGGGTTTCCATCATAACTAAATGACTAGTCGTAACTAAATCATCTCTTTTATTATGACGGTTATTCCTTATTTTTGAATTGCAGAAAATGGCCGAGTTGAACAAGCTGACTGCAGTCCACAAAGACGGGGAAGCTGGCTCAGATCACGAAATCCTCGCGCCAGAAGGCAGCCCCCCAAACAGCCCCCTGGTCTTGGAGCAGGTCCGGGTGGTGGACGCAGAGGGGAACTTAAAAGTGCTTTATCCCTCAAAGACAGATCTCCACTCCTCCCTCCTCACCGTCCTTCATTAAGCTCTGCTGGCCAAACGCCTCATCCGGGACTTTTCATAAAAGTTTTTTGGGGGGGAGGGGAGGGGTCCCGCTGCTCAGCTCGTTCGCCACAGCAGGAAGCGCTGAGCTATTTTAAGCCGCATGAATTTGGGATCTTGAGAGTCGGACTTTTAGCTTGCTTTAATCCCCCTACTCAGATGGGGGGGTCAATTTTGGTCCCTTGCCAATGACAGCGCCAACTGATTCCTCCCTGCGGATATAATTTTGCTGTGCTGTGTGATTGTGTTCCTTCCGTGGGAAAGAGGTGAGTGGGTGGCTGGTCTCCCTGAGTGCAGATGAAATGGGGGAACATCCTAGGGGCAGAAGGAACCCCAGTAAAAAATCACCGGAGGGTAGCTTTCCCCTATCACATTATTTCCTTCCCCTTCTCCGTAATGTGGATTCTCCAGGAGCAGAGGGGTGCTATGTCTTCTCCAGCTTGGCCCTGGGGCTTTGGGGTAGGGTGTCCCAAATGGCCACCAACCTTTGCTCCCTCCCAACTGTGGGGCCCTTGCTGGTGTCTTAAGTTTAGTGGTTTTCTTGCAGACATTTCGTGACACAGCTAGGTAACATCGTCAGTGCTAGCAGAGAGTTGGTTTCTGGTTTCTAGCAATGATGTGACCTAGTTGGGTCATGAAACGTCTGCAAGAAAACCAACAAACTCAGGAAGAAAGCACCTGCCTGCGTTCCAGGTTGTAGGGAAACAAACCTGATTTTTAAAATCCGAATTTCCCCCTAAAAATACACCTCCAAACACAAGGCATTGGGCTAGCAAATTTTACTGGAAATTAAAGCTGTCTGGATCCCCAGTTTTGGGGCACAAATAATCCCTCCCAAAAAATAAAAAAAATGTTTGAAATCTCAGTTCTGGTGACTTTTGTTCAGCAATGAAAAAACTGGGATAAAGCAGCAGTGCCCAAATCTCTAGGGTGGTGGAGGAGAGCAGGCAGCGCCAGCCCTGCGGAGCAGGCCTCAGCTGGCATTCCTCACCTGTTGTGTTAACAGCCAGCAGCGAATTTGGGAGGGGGTCACACCCAGTAAGGAAAAAATGAGTCAGTGGCTTTCAATCAGCGTGCCTTGGCTCTTAAAATGGCCTTTTCATGTTTTAATATTTATATCATAAATGAAATATCCCTTTTAAGTTTGTTATGCACCTTGGCTACTTGTAGAGCAAAACAGCAGATCGTAACAATAAGCTGACCACCACAATCATTTTTTTAAGTTGAACTGGTCAAAACTGTCCTTTGCTGGGGGCAATTGCGCCAAAGCACCACCAGAGGGCTGCCCTCTAGAGCTGCAATAGCCCAGAACAACCACAGGAGGGCAGCAATCCAGAGTCTTTGTAATATCGGCAGTTCCTCCACCAGCCTTTTTTGAACCTGCAATTTTAATTGGAGCATTTATTTTTAATTTAGGGGCCAGGTGATGAAACTGCAAAGGGAAAGGCAGACAGTTATGGGATGGCAAAAGAGAGCAAGCTGCTCAAGAAACGAGGAATGCAAAGCGGCCAACAAGCCTTAAAGGAAGAATCTGGAGCAAACTCCCTGGGATTTCCCAGTGTTAAAACTATGTTGTGGGAATGCACAATGTTGTGGGAGTTGGGGGGCCAAGCCGCTTCCCAGGAGCCTTCCAGATGGAGATGGGCAGGGGTTTCCATGCTGGCTGTGGAATTCTGGGAGTTGAAGCCCACAAAGTTTTCATGTTTGGAGAGTTCTTGAGCCTCTTGAGACCCAGGCACACTTTCAGATCCCTCTCTTCTCCGTGCTGGAGGAAGTGGGAGGGGGGGCATTTGGCCTCTTATTCCCCCCCCTTCCCTGCCCTTCCAGCTGTGTGGAGAAGGCTCTGCAAACATAGCTTTGCAGCAAAGGCCTCCCCTCCCTGCGGGGGGGGAGGCCAGCCAGCCTGCCATGCAAGAGGGGTGGGTTGCAAAGAGGGCCCCTCCTTGTTGCTCCTGGCCTGCTGCCAAGCCTCCCCTCCTGTTTGGCTTGGCAGAGGCCGGGCCCTCCAGCCAGCAACAGGGATTTTGTGCTTCTTCCTTCCAGATTCGGCTTGGGGGAGTTTTGTCCTTCCCCCCTCCCCCCTTCATGCGTCTCTGCCCACCTGGGAAGCGGAGAGGAAACCGAGCTGGGAGGTCTTCAGCCACAATTTGCCCTCCAGACTTTTTTGCTGGGGGGGGGGTGGAGGAAAAGGGTTCGAATCTTGCAAGAGTTCGTGCTCAGCTGAGCTTCAGAATCAAGAATGGGGCACCCCTTTTTCAGTGCCGTTGTAACTTTGAACGGTCACTAAACGCACCGTTGTAAAAGCAACTCTTCTTCCCTCCAGCAAAGTAACAAAGGAGAATAACAAACTTTCAAATAATGTGTTTTTTTTTTAAATGCTGTAACCAAGAAAGTAACAAACTATCCCTGATTGAGGGGGGGGGTTGTTCTCTTGGATTTACATATCTGAGCTCAGTGCCCCCCTTGTCATTTTTCTCCTTTTTGAGCCCCCTCAAAAAGCGGCCCATCTTTTTTCTAAGCATCCCTAACTTGGGAGGGGGCTGGATTAAAAATGGAGGGGACACAAAACATGGTTCCTGGGGGTCAGCAATCCAAAGGGGCTATTTGCAGGATTGGGGAGGGGGCTAAGACTCTTTATTCATTTAAAGACCTCTTTTGGTCTGGGGGTGACAAAATCCAGCCCAGGAATGCAGACATTCCTGCAGGCCTGTGGAAAGAAACCTGCCTCAGCCTCTTATTAGATAGTTTGCAAAATCTGGATGTGCAAAGGTGGGGGTGACTGCCCCACCCCACCTGGCCCCTCCCCCCAGAATTCACCCCCTCCCCCTGTGTTTTCTTGGCTGCAACCTTCTGCCCTTGTCTCTTTCTCCTGTAAAGTTGGGAACTTCAAAAGTGTTTTGAAAAGGAGGGGGGCTGAGAGGAAGGGACACCCTGCCAAGTTGGGGGGAAAGAGAGCAAAAAAGGGGGGGAAGCAAAAGAGAATGAGAAAAAAAAACGAGAGTGTAAGAGAGACTGAAAGTAAGAGTGAAAGAGCAAAAGAAAAAGAGCGAAAGAATGAAAGAAAAAAGTGGAAGAGAAAGTGACAGCAAGAGAAAACTGTTGAAAGAAACAAAGGGAAAAAGGGAGTGAGCAAACAAATGAAAAGGGAACGGCCTTCCACTCTTAAAAACATTTTGCAAACTTTCCTCTTTTATTTATTTTTTCCTGCAAAAGCAAAAATTTCTCTTCCTCTGTTCCCCCCCCCCCGTCCCTTTTTTTTTTTTTAAATAAACCCCTCTTTTAAGGGATCTACCCAGATCTCCGAGCCTTGCGGAGGACCCAGAAGTGAACTGTCCACCAACCCGGAAGATTTGAACTAACCACCCAGCAAAAGGGGGAGGGAGGGAGGGAGGGGGGGGAACGCTAAATGTACCATCCCACCTTCAGGCGGGGGGGTCAGAGGGGGAAAAACCCACCACCCGCTCTTCCCCTCCCCCCCAAAAACCCCTGAACGGATGAATTTGGGAGAAATAATAACGTCCAGCCCTTCCCTCCCTCTTTGCAGAGCCCCCCTCCCTCCAAGGTACTCGGCCTAGCCAAAGCGCCCATTTCTTCTCTGACTTCTTGAACTCCAGAAGGCGGCGAGGGGGGGGCGTGGGAAGGGAGGGGTCGGAAGGAGAAAGAGAGTTTGGAAAAATGTATCCGTCTGGGGCAAACTTGCCGGCGCCCCCTCCCCTCGCTGTGCAGGTCAGTGGCTAGAGGAAACCGGTGGGGGGGAGGCGGAGGGGTCTCTCTCTCTCCTTGAGTGTGTGTGGGGGGCTCTCCTGGAAGGAGGGGTCTCCGTCTCCTGCAGGGGGGGGGGGCGTTTGCAAAAGAAGCGGCTGCTGCGTGCTTTGGCGGGGCCACCCAGCCTGGCTCGGGTGGGGGTCTCCTCTCGGCCCCCTCCCCGCGGAAAGAGGAGGAGGAGGAGGAGGAGGAGAGAAAGAGGGAGGCTGGGGGGGCGCCCCCTTCTCCCTTTGCAGACGGCTGGCGGCGGAGGGGCAATTTGCAAGCCGAGCATGTCTGTTCGCATAGGAAGTCTCGCTTTTTCTTTTCTTTTTTTTAAATAAATAAAAAGCCGGGCGATTCAAAAACCGCGATCGAGGAATCGGGGGATCGAGAGAGAAAGCAGATCCTTAAAAAAAAAAAAAAAAAACCAGCCATGCTGATCCAGGATCCCCTTTTTGGCGCAGCCTTCCGGCCAGGAGCGATCCCAAAGCCATGAGAGACGATGGCTAAGAGGAGAGAGGTGGAATTCTTCCTAATTTTGATTTTTTCCCCTCCCCCGGTTTTTTCCCTCCCCTGCCTTGGGGGGGCTGTGGGGGGAGCCCCCCCTTTCCCCTGCCCCCCCCGGGCTCTCTGGGCCGGCGGGCTCCCCTTTCCCCCCCCCCCAGATCTGCAGAATATGGCGTCCCCGACCTGTTTTAAAAATAACACTGGCTGCCATTTTTTTTTCTGCCCTCTTTTGTCTGCGATTTTCCATCAAAACGGGCCCGGCGGGGGGGGCGGAGGCGAGGGGGAGGCGGGCCGGGAGGGGGGGGCGAGGGGGCGCCTTTGGGGGGCTTTTTTTCCCCCATCCCCAAAGAGGAGGAAAAATCTGATTTTTCTTTCTCCCCCCCCCCCAATTTGCGGCGGAGTTCTGCTTTGCGTCCTGCTCCGCTTTGGCGTCCGGGCTGCCTGGCGCGGGTCCCGCCGCGGGACGCAGAGATCGGGGAAGGGTCGCCGGGGGAGTCGCGCAGGGCCCCCCCCGCCTATGTCTTCCCACGCGTGTCGAGGAGGGCGCGTGGACCCGGCCGGAGGAGAAGCCAGCCTGGAAGCGGGGGGGGGGGAAGAGCCACAGGAAATGCAAAATGTATCTAGTTGGTTGGCTAGAGCTTTCTTTATTTATTTATTTTGTTTCCCTTTCTTGCTCCAAAATGGTGGGAATCCGTGTGCGTTTTTCTTTCCTTCCTTTCTTCCTGCAAATTATATATATATATATATTGAACGATGCCACGTTTGCTGAGAAATAGCCGGGGAAGTTTTTGCACGGTTACTGCGTGCTGTTTTGCAGGGTGGGTGAGTTTTAACGAGGGGCGATTTGCCTCCCAGGTGTGTTTCTCCTCCTGTGCCTTTCCAGGGATTTGGGACTTGTAGGAAGGCTTCGGCTTTGTGGGAAATAAAGATATATGTGCGTTTATGGGGAGGCTTCGTCTTTTCCCGACTTATGCGATCCTGGTGTAGAAATGTATCCTGGTTAATATTGGAGTTTGTTTGCCTGGGATGTCAGGAAAGGGGAGAGGGGTCCAGCAGGAATTTCTTGGGGGCGGGGGAGGCTGAGATGATCTGTGTGTGTGTGTGTGTGTCTTGGCTATTTGGGAAAAAATGGTGCAAATTCTCTTTCCTCCCCCCCCCCCACTGGCTGCATGTAATCTCCAGGAGGTGTGTTTGTGTTTTGCTGTGTATTTCCTTTTGTTCGTGTTATTTTGCAGCAGTTTGGGGGCTGGGTGGGTGGGTGGGTGGGTGGGGGTCTCTGTCCATAATCTGAAATATTCCTTCTTTTTCTTAGCTGCCAACTCCAGTTAAAACTCAGATTTTTGATTCCTGCCACTCCAGGCCTAGGGAGAGGGAGAAATTTTTGGGGTGCAGAAGTTTGGGGCAGAGGGGGGGGATGTGGGGGTCCCTTCTCTGTTTATTTTTTCCTGTATAAAAAGAGGTCAGTTTAGGTGGCCCTGAGTGGAGGGCAGAAAACCCTCCACATGGCTGCTCTATCCGAAATGCTGCACAATGCAGCCAGTCCTCAGTTTGCAACCGTTCATTTAGTGACGGTTGGAAGTTACCACCGCACTGAAAAAAAAAGTGCCTTACGGCCGTTTTTCATAGTTATGACCGTTGCTTGGCAACTGGCTCGTATTTATGACAGTCGCACTGTCCTGGGATCACTTTTGCAAACTTCTGACAAGCAAAGTCCATGGGACAATCCAATTCACTTAACAACCAGGTTACTAACTGAACAATGGCAGTGATTCACTTAACAACTCTGGCAAGAAAGGTCGTAAAATGGGGTAAAACCTTTGGGCTCGATTGTGGTGGTAAGTTGAGGACTACCAGTAATTGCAATTTTTTTCCCTTTAAGCAGGAGTGGGGTTTGGTGAACTGTGACTGGTGCAATTTTGGGGGGCTTCAGCATAGTTTGGAGGCATTGGGTGTCGAGTGGAACCCCTCGCTTGTCCTAACCGTGTTTGTTCGGCTGTTAAGCTGCGTTTCGGGGTTAAAAATATGGCTTTATTTCTGGAATCTGGCCTGTGTTTTGGAGAAGTTGGGTTTAAGCCACACACCTTCACAGCTGGTCCTTCAAGAAAAGATTGTGTGGCCATTTGTCTGGGGTGGTATAAGGGCTCCTGCCTTGGACAGGGGGTTGGACTGGATGACCCCTCAGGGTCCCTTCCAGCTCTAGGATACTTTGATTCAGTTCTGGGTAAGAGTCTTCACCGAGGATCCCACCAGGCTGAAATTAGGGCACCAGGAAGGTCAATTGACAGGAAACTGGAAGTTTGGGAAGGAGGCCGTAGAGGAAGTGTCCATTCTGTCTCTGGTGTGAGTCTTGTTTTTCCGGCCAGCTTATGTTCCACATTCCTTAGTGAAGGATGACTAATTGCGCTAAAGCTAAACGTGAAACCAAGTGAATTTTCCATCTCTTAAATCAGGGGTCTCCAAACTTGGCAATTTCAAGCCTTGTGGACTTCAACTCCCAGAACCCCCTAGACATCCATGCCTGTTTCTTTTCTCCCACTCCCTAGAGCGGAGAGATTGCAGAGGAAAGGACCGCAAGAGAGTAAGCAGGCATACAGTGGGGATACGTATCAAAAGGAAAGCGTTATTGCCGAGGAATTCTGGAAGTTGAAGTTCATCCATCTTAAAGTTGCCAAGTTTGGGGACCCCTATCTTAAAGCTTTCCAGGTATTTGGTTCCATTTTATTCCGTTTTATATTGTTTGATGGAACATATCCTAGATTTAGAGAAAGGCTAATCTATCTGCCTTGTACCTGACGAAATAAGTCAAGGATTCCCTGCAAGACGCGAGGGGAAAAACTGGAGAAATAACAAAATATATGTATTCTAACACGTGCATTTGAAAAAGACTTTTCCCTCAGATATACATACCGGCGTCTCTGATTTTCATTTGGAGAACTGCAAATATCAGACAATTGCAGTCTTGAGAGATTTCTAATTTTTTTATTAGATAAATTGAATTTTTCTCCCCCTAACCCCGATTGGGGTTAGGGGAGAAAAATTCAATTTATCTAATAAAAGCAAAGTTGCAAATGTGTCTAATAAAAGCAAAGTTACAAATGTGAATTTTAGGGGATTTTTTTTCCTCTCTGTGGTCTTAAATCAAAGGAGGTGTATTTAATTTGCTTGTTTATTTAATTTCTTTAATGAAGCAAAGCAAAAAAATTAAAAAGAGCATGTCTGCTGCACTCGCATCTGAAATGTTTTGAAAATCCAAGTTAGACTGAAACTTTTCAACAGGGAAAAACGTAAATAACAGGAGCTGCCGGATGTGTTACACTGTTTCCGTTACAGTTTTATTTGTTTGAAAACATGGTTTGTTTATGGTTTAGTGTGTTTGCAGTTAAAGCAAATATCTCCTTAGTGTATCGGTTCAACCACTGAGATGTATAAAACAGAATTTATGGTGTAGTGCAGGGGTAGGCAACCTTGGCTCTTTTATGACTCGTGGACTTGTTATATATGCTGGAAAGAAAATTTGAAACAACTTTTATTTTTCTCCTTCCTTCCTCTCTTTCTTTCCTTCCTTCCTTCCTTCCTTCCTTCCTCTCTCTTTCCTTCCTTCCTTTGTTTCCTCCTTTCCTTCCTTTCTCTCTCTCTCTCTTCTTTCTGCATTTTTGCCATTTTCTTTCCTTTCTTGCTTTTTTTTACTCTTTATTGGAAGCTGGAAGCCTCCAGGTACTTCCTACCTGCCCCATTGCAGAACCCCCAGTAGCTCTAGGAGTAGCTAACCCAGGTGAAGCAGGTTTGGCTTATTGTGTGACAGGAACACATGCTAAGTTTTACTGGAGAGACCCGGATCAAGATTAGCATCTAGGCTTCTTCCCAGGTGCCCTTTAACTCTTCTGAGGTAGACTGCCCCGCCACAGGAGGCTCCATCCCCTGCCCGGGCCCAGGCTCAGCGCTCGGCCGCCGTTTCTGTGTGAACAACCTGTTATTTCTCTCTATTTCAGCCAGGCGAGAGGCCGGGCGGCCTCCGAGGCAGAGCCTCCCCATGCCAGGGGCCGTAGCTTGTATTAACGGCAGTTGGGTAGGATCTGGCGGAGGCCGGGGACCCCTCCCGGCCTGAACTTGTCCCTGCCTGCACCAGAAGGGACGGTCTGAAGCGCACAACAACACCCTGCTCGCCAGGGTTCAAGACGCCCCGTGAGTACTGAGTGCGGTTAACGTCTTCCCTTCTAGCAGGGCTGCGGCCGGACCCTGCGTGGCCAGACCCGTCTCTCCGTCCCAGCCGGTCTTCTCCCCCCAGGTGGCTGGGGCTTCGTGTCCAGCTGAGGGGGTCCTGTCCCCCATTTCTGGAGTGGAGAAAGCAGGGCTGTGTAAATCAGCCTGCAGACGGTCCTTTCCAGGGGAATTTGCTTGAAAAGTCAGCAACCACTAACCAGGGTTAAGTGAGGGGTCCTTGGTGCTCTCTGAGCATGGTGGCTTCTTTGCAGACGTTTCATGACCCAACTAGGTAACATGATCAGTGCTAGAAGGGAGGGGGGTTTGAAGGGAGGAGGAGGAAGACGAGGAGGACTGTGGGGTCCTGGGTGATCTCTGAGCTTGATGGTTTCCTTGCAGACGTTTCATGACCCAACATCATCTGTGTTTGCTTTCTTTTAAAACTCCATCCTTCCTTTTCTCTCAAATTATTCTTAACCCCAACCATCTTAGATAAGTTACACCATTAAAAAAGCAACCGGGATGTTTCTGTGTGACTCGGATGCTGGATGGTTTGAACAGGTCTCTTGGTGAACGACTCGGGTGGCCCAAACTGGAGCTGGGTTCACAGTGTGGATGATGGGTTATAAAAGGAGACAGATCGGGTCTTTTTGGGGGGGGGGAAGCAGGATCTAGAAAAGATGGCACAGAAAGAGTAAAGCGGGAGAAAAGACCGTTTCAAATCCGGGTGCATTTTGGCTTAGAATAGGTATAAGACGAAGCGGTGAGAGATGCTGGCGGGTTCTCAAATGTTCGCTGCAATATCCCACCACAAGAAAAACTGGCATAAGTGATTGTACACATCACTTCGGCTTTCACCTGCATTTGCAACCGGTCCTGTGAACAACAATGTTGTCATTTCCAACCCCACACAGTCAAAAATTTATTTGCCGTCATTTAAGAGGAGGTTTCTAACCGGCGGTCGTTGCTGATTTGAAGTGTGTTTTCTCAGTTGAAATTATTTAATTGCGTCGTTTAATCCACAGGCGCTGCAGTTAATTCGTCTCCTTGATGGTTTGTTGTTGTTGTTATTGCTGGAGATTGCTTAGGAGTTTTGGACGGACGTTGCAGTTTTATCAGGAACTCCAAAACAGGGGAAACTTTCTGAATCTGTGTCTCTTGCCAAAAAAAGAAATCATTTCTTTGACAGCGTTGCGATTTTGTTTTTAAATTAATCCTTCCCAACTCCACCAGTAAAAAAACATCAGTCCTTTTGTCTATTCAGCGGCCTGGATTTGGGGTGCCACTAATTTGGGGGCGCTGCCAAGCCTTCACTCAATAATTTTGCTGGTCTCCATCCCATTGTCAGGTTTTGGATGTGAAGGTTCCTCTACGATGTTCCTCTCTTGCTTTTTACCTGAAACTAGGTTTAAAAGAAGCTTGTGGTGTTAACCGGTCTTTTAAAAATTTAATTTAGCTGCTTCTCTTTGACCTTGGACCAAAAATAGCCAGTCCTCGACTTACGGACAAAATGGAGCCCAAAATGTATGTCGCTAAGCAAGGCAGTTGTTAAGTGAGCTGACCCCTGACCCTCTTCTTCCCCACCCCCGCTATTTTTTCTCTCCAGAATGGCGGAACCGCGCTTTAACAACACCTATTTTTGGCCACCACCTCCCACCATGCCGAGTCAGGTAAGAACCGCGACGTCTCGGCTTCCAGTTACCGGTTAGATTTTTTTTAAAGTTTCTAGTCCTTAAGAACCAAAGCTCACCCTGCTAATTGGCTGGAGGCATGAGAGCGTCAATTTTTCCTACCCTGTTTAGAAATGCTAGGCCTGATCAGACTGATGAATGCAAGTCAAGGGGGCTTTGGGGATTAAACCTGACCCCATGTGGGAGTCTGGGGGATGTTCCCCATTGGATAATAGAAAATAAAATGAGATTTTTTTATTTATATAATTGCCAGGTAAGAGATAACGTCATAATTGTGCATGTATTTATTTTTTCTTTCTTCCTTCTCTCTTTCTTCTTCCTTCCTTCCTACTTCCCTCCCTTTTTCTTCTTTCTTTTCTCCTTCTTTCTTTCTCTCCTTCCTCTCTCTTTTCCTTCCTTCCTTCTTGCTTTTTTATTAGTTTGTGTTTTTTATTTTCTTCTAAAAATTTGAATAGCATGTATTTTTAGAAAAGAGAACAGCATCCCTTGAATTATTTCACTTTCAGTTATTTTTCTTTATGTAAGAAAAATGAGATATATTTTGTTTAAAAAATCTTCTTCCAAATTCCCATTATAATGGGAGGGAGACATGGATAAAACACTGGGGAGCAACCACATAGATTCATGGTCCTCTTCTTCTGGGAAGCTTTTTCCTACCATGCCATCCAAGATCTTCTAGTGGCCTCCACACCAAGATGAACTGGTCTGACTCTGCTTAGCCTTGAAGTCCAGCCAAAGTTTAACAGAAACTCCTCAGTTGCGTTGAATCAGGGCTAGACAACATTTTCTCACTGTCAAATTGTTGTTGGTCCTTAAATTTGCCTTGGCTGTTTCTCCACCACCTCTAGGGCTCCCTCTGTCAAAAGCATGAATTGCAGGGGTCTTTGAAAGCTCATCTAGTATGTCCCCCTTGCTCCTTGGCCTCCTGTCGTTTTTAAGCCACGATTATCGGTCGTTCTGGGTTAGTCATTCTGTTCTGTCTTCTCTTTTGTGTCTAGCTGGACAATTTAGTCCTGATCAACAAAATCAAGGAGCAGCTTATGGCGGAGAAGATCCGCCCCCCTCATTTGCCCCCTACCTCGGTGTCTTCCCAGCAGCCCCTGCTGGTGCCCCCCTCGCCAGCGGAGAGCAGCCCGTCCATCATGTCCATTCCGAAGCTCCAGCAGGTCCCGGGGCTTCACCCCCAGGCGGTACCCCAGCCGGACGTTGCTCTTCACGCGCGCCCGGCCACCAGCACAGTCACAGGTATGGAGACAAAAGGATGGGCGTTAGTCCTCATGGTTCTGATGACCGGGTGCCCCGTGCTAAGGGTTACGGTTAGAGGTTGTAAAATGGAGCAAAGACTCACCTGTCTTGCTTAGCAACAGAAATGTGGGACTCCGTTTTGGTCGTAACTTGAGGACTACCCATATTGGCCATCTCATCCGTTGTAGGCCTGAATGTGTCTGTGTAGGCGTGAATGTGCCCATTTACATTTTCAGATATAAAATCGGTGCACTGCTTTTAACAAGAGAATTGTGTTCATAATTTGTGGTTTGTTTAAAAAATGAAGAGAGCAGAACCGGGCTGAAGGGAGACACCTCCCTTTTCTCCAGGGCAGGATTTTGCTTAGCCTTTTTCCCCCCCGACTTGCAGGTCTGGGGCTAGGGTCCCGCACTCCTGCCGTCAGCACTTCTGAATCCAGTACGGGGACGGGCACCAGCACCGCCTCCACGCCCACCTCTTCCAGTCAAAGCCACCTCATCGCCTCCTCCCCCACCCTCATCTCGGGGATCACCAGCCCCCCACTGTTGGACTCCATCAAGACAATCCAGGGCCACAGTCTGCTGGGGCCCCCCAAGAGTGAGCGAGGCCGCAAGAAGATCAAGGCCGAGAACCCGTCGGGGCCCCCGGTCCTCGTGGTCCCCTATCCCATTTTAGCATCAGGAGACATCGGCAAAGAAGGGAAGACATACAGGTGGGTCTCAGGAAAAGGCTTCCGGTCACATCTCAAAATAAATGTGCCGTTTATTCTGCCACGTTTAGTTTCAAAACAGGAAACTAAACTAAACTGTTTAAATTTTCATGTCACACCTGACTATTTTTGGTTTGAAAAATGGGTGCCCACACAAACAGGTTGCTGTCACAGACTCCTCCTATCTTGAAAGCAACAAAGAATAAAACTCTTCTCATTATCTCTTGCTCCAAATCTATGGAGGGCCAAGTGGGACGTCACTCCTCGCACCACAAGGATCCTAATAGCCTCATGGATTTGGTTCTCTGTGTTGTGGAGCCACGGGGGATAGTAAAGTTGCTGCATCTTGTGGCAGGGAGTTCCAGTGATCAAAGTCCGGCGTGTTTTTCTGCCTGAAACTTCCTGTCATCCTCCAATAATTTTGGCCTCCTTTGGTTATAATTTTGGCCTCCATTTTTGCCAGCCAAGGACGGCATTTTCTCCTCCAACTCCGGGCATTGGCTGTCCACACAGGGCCAGAGTCAAATCCATGTTGTGGGCCCCCCCTCTGACGTTGGGGTCTGCAGTGTCCCTAACCCCTCTTCCTTGCTCCTCAGGTGTAAAGTCTGCCCACTTACCTTCTTCACCAAGTCGGAGATGCAGATCCACTCCAAGTCGCACACCGAGGCCAAGCCGCACAAGTGCCCCCATTGCTCCAAGTCCTTTGCCAACGCCTCCTACCTGGCGCAGCACCTGCGCATCCACCTGGGCGTCAAGCCCTACCACTGCTCCTACTGCGAGAAGTCCTTCCGCCAGCTCTCCCACCTCCAGCAGCACACCAGGTACGGCTCACCCGGCACAGAGGCATGGGGACCTTGGTAGCACCCTCCGGTTGGGCAGTGGGGCAGCTTGTGCCATTTGGAGGGAAGCCAAGGGGTGGAGTTAAATGGAAGGGGTAGGGTTACAAGGGAGGGGCAGAGCTGCAAGCAGAGGAGAATGCAGACCTGTACTGTACACAGCCTATACTACACAGTTCATGAATCAGCTGGGGACAAGAAGACATTCTGGTGGCTATCCAAGAGCCCACTGTCATCTCTTGCATCCTTCACACCCTTTGAAAATTGTGCAAGAATGGAGCATGCTTTCAAGAATAGTTGTTGGGTGTTGGTGAATGCTGGCATGTCACCCAAATCATTGACATGTGTGTCTTAGGTTCACCACCATCTAAATTTTTGTCCCTCAAGATCACAGCACAGAATACTCAGGGTGGAGAAGGTGTGATGGCTTTATGGAACTGATTCCTCTGTCTTGATGCATTTCAGAATTCATACTGGAGACAGACCATACAAGTGCCCACATGCCGGTTGTGAAAAGGCTTTTACACAGCTCTCTAATCTCCAGGTGAGTGGAAAAATTGGGACGGTGAGAGACATACATGGGAAGTTGAGGCCACCGATTGGATGCAAAATATCTGCTGTTGTAAATTTGAACAATCACTAAACGAACTGTTGTGTGTCAAGGATTGCCTGTATCGTGTTCAAATTGTGATAATTTGGCTGCAGCTCAGGGAGGTGGGAATAACTGCATCAGAGACTTCCTAGTAGACTACTACTAGCTCTGGAGTTTTGCTGTTGCAGGGTAGACGGCCTACAAAATGGCCTCCAGAGGCAGATGGGACTGTATTTGTGTTTTACCTGTTTCTTAATCTCTTTCCTCCCGTTTCCACTACCCGCAGTCACACCAACGGCAGCATAACAAAGACAAACCTTACAAATGTCCGAACTGCTACCGGGCATATTCAGATTCAGCTTCGCTCCAGATCCACCTCTCGGCGCATGCAATCAAGCACGCAAAAGCCTACTGCTGCAGCATGTGTGGACGAGCGTATACTTCAGTAAGTAAGCCCCTCTGAGCAGGGGGATTTTCTGGGAGCTGAAGGTACAAATCGTCCCGCCCAATCGTATTACGGTTTATTTATATTTATATCTGTCCTCTCCTTCCCCAGGAAACCTATCTGATGAAGCACATGTCAAAACATACGGTGGTGGAACACCTCGTGAGCCAGCACTCCCCTCAGAGGACGGAGTCCCCCGGCATCCCAGTTCGGATATCCCTCATCTGAAACGCAGAGAAGGAGCCCTCCCCTTGCGTGACGGACCTTCGCAAATGCCCGAAATGAGAAAGGGAGCAAGATGGAGATCTCCGGATTATGCAAAACAGCCGTACTGCTCTCCCTGTGCTGTTTCCTCAGATTTCTTGACAGTGTACAGCACTGTGCTCAGGAGGACCAAGAGACGCCCCCCCCAAATCTGTCCCCCACCCCTCATTCATCCCTGAGCAACCTCGGGCCTTTGTGGAGGGGACATGTCCTCTTTGATGTTGGGGACAACCAAAGACAATTCCACAGCACTTTCACCCTCCCTCGCTCGCTTCTCCAGGAGCGCCGTTTTCTGAGATCGCGGCGTTCTGTTTTTTTCCCATATTCCCTCCCTTTTCTCAATTCAGATAATTTTTCCCTCTCCTCCTCTCCCCTCCCTCCCAAAAAAACATTGGCACAGAGATTTCTTTCTGACATGGAGCACGCAATCCCTCTGGACTCCACCCTGAAGCCATTGAGAGTCTCCTTGGACAAGGCACAGTACCGTGAAGTATTTTGGTGCTAAATTGGAAGGAGACCCGACACCCCAGAAGCATCAAGAGAAGAGAGGCAGAGTCTGGCGGACGCAACAATGCCACGCGCCACACGTTGTAAGGCCGAACCCAGGCACTGCTGGCACAACGTCAGGGAGAATTATGGGACCATCTTGTGCGAAAAGCAGAACCAACCTCTGCTCTTTTTCAAGAGAGGGAAAGCTTGGGAAAAATTGCAAAACTCAGCGGGAAAATCCTGTACCTGTTGGAGCTGGGGGGGTGGGTGGGAGAACGAGAGCACTTGTAACAATACGTCAGGAACGTTCGCTGCATTAGACAAAAGGTTTGACACCCTGGTGGTCTGTTGGGATGAGACAAACTATTGGACGAAACCTGTCATGTAGAGAAGACGAGGTTGGCACTTGTCCTGGCAGCAAAAGAGGGCACAGCTCCAGGGGACACGCACTGGGGAGGAGGTTGTTGCTTCCATGCACATATTTTAGCCATGTCCAAGCTACAGCTAGGTGGTTGGGATGTCGTATTCCCACTACATTGGAAAACCATTGTATTTGGTTGGTGGGCGTGCAACCTGGCCAAGTGAGTCTTCAAGGGGGAGGACGGCCATTTCTTTTTCCTCACGATCATCAAGTCCATCCCTGCAGCTTTGTGGTCGCCCCAATTCATCTCTAGACCAGAAGATGCATCAACAGAAGCTCCTACGCCTCCTGGTTGGTGCATAAGGGACAGAGCGTGCCCATCCGTGGTGAGAAGGAGCAACTTGTAGGGAACTCATTTATCTTACAGAAGGGGGGGGGGAATCATCCAAGAGCCTTAGAAGTGGTCTTCCCCAGACAAAGAACGATTATGCAGCTTTTCAATCTCAGGCCTGCCGATGGTCCTGCTTGCAACTCTAATGGAGGCTGCACATTGCAGTCGTTAAGTCGTAGCAGTTGTAAAATGTGTACCTCACAAGATTGGCCCAATTTTACAATCTTTTTCACTGCGGCCACGGCAGTTGAAAGTGAACAACTTGGTCATTAAGTGTACGCCGCTGCTCTTTTAGCAAACCTACTGTTCACCATAACAGTAACTAGTCATAAGTCAAGGGCTACCTCTATAGTTGGAAGGGGTCCCCCTGGGCTTGATCACCCCATAGCAATCCAGGCCGTCCTTTCTTCCACACGCAAGTGGGCTCTGGCACAACCACATTAGTTTGTAAGAGGCATTGCTAAAGATCTTGCATCTGACCAAAAAAAAAAAAAAACCCATCAATTTTTGGGCAGGACTTTGACATCATCCCCAACCTGCTGGCCTCCAGAACCCATCCAAAGCAAGTATTTCTCAACCTTAGCCACTTAAAGATGTGTGGACTTCAACTCCCAGAATTCCCCAGCCAGCCGTCTGGTTTTTCTTCTCCCACCTCCTGCAGAGGAAGGGATTATAAGAGAGTAAGCAGACCTCAATACCCATGAAAAAGAACGTATTAGCGACAGGGGATTCTGGGAGTTGGAAGTCCACAGGTCTTCAAGTGGCCAAGGTTGAGAAACCTGAGCTTCCATTCTTGGTTGTCTCCTCTCTCCTTGTCCCTGGCTTGGTTTCTGCCTTGGGGGAGGCACAAGAAAGACCCCATTCCAAGGAAAATAGCCAGGGACGGCTTTTCAAACCTCCCCCCCCTCAAAAAAAAATGCTATCACTGATCCTTGGCTGAGTTTTGCTTCCATCCTTCTGAAACCAAAACTACACAATCCCACCAGATCAAACCAACTGTTGCCTCTGCCCCGCCCTCTTGCAAAGATTTTGCAAACCCAAATTCAACTCCGTTCTCTTGCCTGGTTTTTAAAGTCGCACCTCATATTTTGTCTAAATAGGGTAAGGGGAGGAAGATCTCCACCCCCACCCCACCAACACAACTGAAAATCCACCTCTCTCTTAACACCCCTTTGCGTTCCCCGTTTTTTTAAAAAGATATGAATTATTTCTTTTTAAAAAAAGGAAAAAAATATTTTTACGCCTTAAAAATCGCTGTTTTTTTAAGCAATTTGTTTGTTTCTTGCTGTTTATACTGATTTGGTCCTTTCCCCCCTTTTTAAAAGTACTTTTCTTTCTTGGTTTTGAATTGATGTTGTATGATATTCAATATTGTATCCTCTCTTTTTTTGGCATGTTAATAACTCTGTAAATAAGACTCTTATACATATTGTTAACATCTTTTTTTTTCTATATAAAAGCCCAGGAAGCATCTAGTTAGTGCCCTAATTATTACCCTTGTTAATGAAAAAAAGATTTTTAAATATATAAAGAGAGAACATCCTTCCTCCCACTTTCTAAAACTCTCATGTTATGGGAAGAGCAGAGACTGTCCCTTGTTCCGGGCCATTGTTTGCATCGTTCCGAAAAATTTAAAAATATTATTACCAATATATGAGAAACGATCACTTTTTAAAAGTTGCTTTGTATTTCTTCTCTGTTGTGGAAAGCAAATAATAAAATGTCTTTTCAACCTTGGGCTGGACTTGGCATAGGGTCTTCCCTCCTTTTCGTGGGCAAAGCTAGGGGGCCGTTGGGCCTGCAACTCGGGGACCCTCCCCGCAAAGGCCGACGTCTACATTCACAGACAAAACGTTAAGCTACAAAAACCTTGAAGTGACCAAGAGGAGAGCAGGTTGTTACAGAAAGTGATGTCGGGTGGAGGAATCTGACACCTGCTAGATGGTGGATTCAGTTCCCATCATCCACAAACACCCAGAGCTGCTGAACTAGGGTCAGTTGCAGCAGCAGCCAATGGTACGTCCAGGTACCCACATCCTCCATGCCTTCACGGGAACCAAGTCATTTCAAATTCCGTAACAGAACTAAGAATGAGAAGGGCCTCCAAGAAACTACACCCAAATCTTCCCATGCAAAAAATTGAAATAATGACAAACCATCCAGCAGCTCCAGGTATTTCCATCTCCCCTTTTCCAAAAAGATGTTCCTGAAGGGTTGAATATTTTCAGCCTTCGAGGCATAGCAGAAGACCATTTTTAAGACATTTTTTTCCCAAAGATGTTTATTAAAAACCAGGAGATGGAAGAAACAGTAGAAAGTCCTTTTCTCGCAGCCCAGAAGGCTTTGGTGAGTGTCCAGCACACGGGAAAATGAGGCATTGCAAACTGGCGACCACAGAGGGATACAGCTCAGCTGCACTCCCGCTTGCCTCTCTTTCCGTCCCTGATTGCCCAAGGCGAACCCACCCACCCACTCCTGACACCCCTGAGGCCTGCCCCGTCTTCCAGAGAGAAAACCAGCCCCTCCTGCCCCTCCCTTGGTGGATTAATTTTTTTTCAAATGGGATGTGTGTGAACTGATACCTGCAACAAACTCAAAATGTTTCTTAAGGCAGCTGGGGAACTGGTCTCGGTCTGTGGAATCACAGATGTTTAGAAGGGGAGAGCCCAGGATAGCCCATGGTTGTGGCTCCAACCTGGCCACTCCCAATTTCAAACGGGGGGGGGGGCAAAAAAAAGGATGGACGGCGGAAAAGAAGGATGCATACCAACGAGGAGGGCAGCTTTGTCCAGGTGCTGTTTTGAGGTGGGCCCCAATGAGCCCGAAAGAGCTGCAGGGAGCTGGGTGGAGCCAGAGAGATGGGAAAGTGCACTATGTGGCACCAATATCACACACACACACACACACATACCTACTCAAAAGTTTAAGGCAACGGTCCTGTTTGGCTTTGAGGTTCCAAAGAGGCTTTTTCCAATGCAAAGGAGGTGGGCGGCTGGAGCCGTAGAGGGCCTGGTGGCCCCCTCCCTTCTCTGCCCAAAGAGTTCCACTTTCCTCCCCTCCTGGGGTTCTCCACAGGGAAGCTACGGACTACTATGTCGTCATCTTCATATGTACACGGCCCCATGGACCTGCCCTCAGGGCATCGGACCACCAAGACGGGGTCTGTCTCTTCTCCCCATCCCCTCCGTCAGTGGGGGCTCTTTGTGCTCAAGTTACCTGGTGAGAAAAGGGAGTGTTGGCCCCACGGCCGAATCCACCTGAGCTCTCCCCTCCCGTCCCCAAGCTGATCGTCCATCCATCACGGCCCAGCACCAGCCCCGGCTCCTAAGAGTCCTTCAACATGCAGATACGGGCATAAATCTTCAAGGCAGGCCCCAACTTGATGTTCATGGCGCTCATGAGGTGGTCCTCCTTCAGCAGCAGCAGCGCCTGGCCATCGATCTCCTGGGCGCGGAATTCATCAGCGATCTCCTGGCAGCCTGCAAGGGGGGTAAGCATATCCCATCAGCTCAAGAGACTCACTCCCCCTCCAGCAATTTCACAATCCCCTGGAAGTCCAGCAGCCCAACTTGGAGGACAGGCAGCTTTCCTGACGCAAAAGAGGTGACCAGGGTACGAAAGACTGATGTCCAGCCTTCGAGGGAGGCTAAATCACCACACGGATCTCAGGAAGGTTACTCCACTTCTATTTCGCAAGCCCGCCAGGATTTCTCTCCACTTCATCTTATACTAACAAAAACTTGGAAGACAACCAGAGTTTCTACTAAACCTAACAAAATTGAGACAGGGTTGGTTTGAGTTTGGGGCACTTGTTTAACTTCTGGTGTTCTCTAAAAGTCCTTGAACCACCCTTTCCCTGAGGGGAGGGGGCTTCTAACAGGCAATTAAGTGGCCCAACATGGTACAAGGGGTTCCACCTCTTGGGAGGCTGTTCAGGGACTTCGCTGAGGCAGACGCTTACCGGGTAGGGAGTGGATGAATTCGTAGACGTCCTCCACGTTCCACTTCGTGGGCTCGCTGCGCAGGAAGTGGCGTTCCATGCCCACCAGGTCCCGGAGGTGGACATCTGGCAGTTCCATGTCTCGCTCACCCTGGCGCCGGCGGGAGGCGGAGGAGCTGGCCGAGATAGGGGAAAGAGGCTCCTCGTAGCTGGAGTTGTCCGAGCAACGGCTGGAGTCCTCTTGTCCGCGGCCGAGCTGGAGAGAGCTGGGTATCGCCATGGGTGCTGAACTGGGTGGCAAGGAGGCCGGTGCCTACGGGCCCACACAGGATGCAACTCAGATTGGCAGAGTTGTCTTCCTACCCATTCTAGCTCAGAAGTACGGATAGCCCTCAACGTACCACCACAACTGAGCCCCAAATTTATGTTGTGAAGTGAGAAATTTGTTAGGTCAGTTTTGCTCCATTTTATGACTTTTCTTGCCACACTTGTTAAATTAGTAACATGGTTCTTAAGTGAATTAGTTGCCAGTGTCCAAATTTTGCTCATGTGACCATGGGGATGTAATGGTTATAAGTATGAGAAGTGGTCATAAATCACTTTTTTTCAGTGCTGTCGTAAGTCTACTTAGAAGACCGAACAGGACAGAACCATAATCTTTTCAATTTCTCTACTTCAGAATATATTCTGAATTTCTCTTTCTTCAGAAAAGACCCCGAAGCCCAAGGGCCTCAAATTTCCTGCCCACCAAGCTCACCGTCTTTTTGCTTTCTTTAGTGAGCGGGGGAAGGGCTCCCTTGCAGGGTCGGCGTCGACAGTGCGGAGGCGTGTTCGGTTTCTGGTGCTTGCTGCGGTCCGGATGGAAGAGTCCCACTCGCTTGGTGCAACCCACGTTATACCTGGGGGGGGAGGGGAGGGAGGAATTAATAGGGTGCTGCAAAGAAGGAAGACCAAGTCTCCCATCCGGATCCCATCCCATCTCGACCCTGTGTAGGGTTGAGCCCCGATCTCCCTTCGGTTTTGGGGGTTCGGAGGTACCTCTTTGCACACGCCATGGAACAGAAGCGCTTCGAACGCTTGAATTTGTACGCAAAATCGAGGCGGCCGCACAGCTCGCATTTCAACTTCGGGGGGGATGGCTCGTCTTTGGATTCTGCGGAAGAAGAGCAAAATATTTCAGTCAAGGCCAGAGGAAGTAGACCCCCTCCCTGGAGCAGTGGTGGGATTCAAATAGGTGAACAAGCGGTTCTCTGGGTGGATGCCGCTTCCGGAAGTCCGTTCTGGGCAGCCAAAAATTAGACACCGGTTCTGCCCAAGTGGTGCGAACCGGCTGGATCCCACCGCTGGCCCTGGAGGCTGCGCAAGGGGGCCAGTTTGCTACCAGTCACTCGGGAGGAAAGGAAGGAACAGAGAGAGACCCCAATGCTGGAGCACCCCCGTCCCCCAAATTTTAAAAGGTTTGAGGCAAATGACTGTCAACCCCCGAATTTATGCGCAATTGAAACCTCTGCAGAAATTGAACAAACTTGGGGGAAATGTAGGTGGGTGCAGAAACTTTGTAAAAAAAGTTTTTCTTCCCCTGCCTGACCCCTCCAAAGGCATCACCCCGTGTCCAGCCGAGAGGCATTCTGCACATGCTCAGAGTCTCTATACCCCCTTCCTTTCCCGGGATCGACCTCTTCCATCTCTGAGTCGGTAAAAAAGAGATTTTTCTTCTCCTGCCTGACCTTCCCCTCCCCAAGCCCTCCAAAGACATCGGAGAGGCATTCTGCACGTGCTCAGAGTCCCCAGACCCACCTTGCAAGTAAGGGTCTTCCATCTCGGAGTCGGTGGTGGTGGTGGTCTCTTGCAGCGGGGGCTTCTCTGCCAGAACCGCCTGCGCATACTTCTTTTTCAAGTTCCCCACCAGCAGCGAGGAGCGGCCCACCTGCCCAGGGAAGAACAGAGTATTTGCCCACCCCCCAAAAGGATCTGGGGCCGCGCAAGACTTGGGGGTCAAGGAAGAGGCTGAACGCTTTGCATTCCGCAGCCAAGGAAGGAATGGAGCACCACCCTCAAAATGCAGCCCCCCCACGACCCCCCAGGCGCTCCCCCCATCTAATTTTCCCTAGCTCCCCCCCCAAAATTTCAGCTGGGAGGGGGGGGGAGAGAGAGAGACATACCGGGAACGGTTCGGCCCCTTCCTGGATCACAAACCCCTCGATCAGATGAGTCAAGATTTGGGGCTTCACGACCGCTTGGGGGGGCAGCTTGTTCTCCCCGTTTTGGGGCACGGCGCTGGGAACGGTGGAGGCAGCACTGCCGTTTCCTGATGTCATGCCGGGGCTGCTGGGGTCTGGGGGCGTGCGAACGCTGCCGGGGGTCGCCTCTGCCGGGGGAGAGCGAGGAGGGGCCGGCGTGATGCAGAGTTCGGAGACAAAGGCAGAGGCCCCTGGCGCAAGAGCCGCCCGGCCCCTCCCGCCTGGCCCTGATTACCATACAGCTGACTACCCCCCACCCCCCCACCCCTCGCCAGAGACCCACGCTGGACAGCCCCTCACTCCAGAGGCCAGAGGAGCTGAGATACACAAGAAGCACAACCTGGACTATGAGAGTCCTTGGCACTCCCTGAGCTAATAGCTCAGGGCTAATTGCTACTAGCGTTAGCTGGCTAGTAAACTAGCTAGTAAAGTAGGATCAGTAACACTGATGATGTTACCTAGTTTGGGTCATAAATGCCTGCAAAAAAACCACCCAGCTCAGAGAGCACGCAGGACCCCAGAATTATTACAGGATTTTTGGATATTATGGGGATGGTTATTTCTGGATAAGGGGGGGCTTTGTGACAAACAAACTAGTGAGGACTAGAAACATCAGGAGGCTGTGGAAAGGACCCAAAGCACAGACAAATAGGCTTGTTGCTTCCCACCTGAATGGCTAGATGTATACCCTCTTCTGACGGCTGACTTGCATTAACTAAATGCTTTTACAAAAGCAAACGAACAGAAAACCAGGGAATGTGCTCAATAATAGCTAAATAATAAATGAAATCAACTCATCGAACAGACTAAAGACATTCAGAGGGAGACAGAAAGAGCTTTGGAAGATCTACTGTATATGCAGCTTCCGTTGTGTTCCTTGTTTACAAAACTGTATTTGGGGGGAGGGCAATGTTTACAAATACTTGTTTGTCTTTTATCTCTTATCTCTTCCTCTCTTTCTATCCAAAAACAATGCCTATAACCCAAATTATCCAGCACTAACTCCAGGCCGATTGGCAAAGAACGAAGAATTCTTGGGCTTGCAAAGCATGATAAAAGCAATGAAACCACCCAGGTTTCTGGACCTCATGATGTCTGAAGCAGGGTGTTTATACGGGCAGAAAGTGCCGTTTGTAAACAAGACAAATTCGGCCAAGTCCTGGGGGGGAAAAAAAAAGGCTTTTTGCTGTGAAGGAATCCCGATCGTATCCACAAGGACTTGTGTAAAAATGAGGAATTGGACCTCACATGGCTACGATGCTCTGCATGCACATAATTTTCTGCTCAAAAGGACCCAGATTTGCAAACAAGAAAAAGAAGCATTTTTTTCTTTCTTCTTATGTTGCAAAAAGTAGAGTCCAGACCCGTTCCAAGCTGTTTAACAGAAAAAAAATTGCCTCGATGTGACATGTGCAACTCTTTGCACGCCAAGTCGCCTGGCGACACACGCAGGAGAGGGCCGCCCGCCCGCCCGCCTTTGCAATGCCCTGGAGACGCAGCACTCCCAGCTCGCCCGCCTCCCCATCACAGCAACGCAGGCAACCCTCACAAACAGAAGCCAGCAGGCACACTTTGCAAGGCATGCTGGGAGCAGCTTTGATCAACAAAGGACGCCCAGCTGCCCTCCTTGCCGCAAAGGAGCTTCGCCAGTTGGCCTTCCGCCTGCTTAGATTCCCAAAAGAAGAGCGAGAACGGCAGGATCGCCAAGGACGGAGCCCGGTGCCTCTCTTGATGAGTCTCTGTTCTTGTTCTTGCTTCCTGGCAATCTGGAGGACACCCCAAAGTCCATCTCAGACAGAAGCCAATTATTATCTGTGTTGCACCCCCAAAGTAAACCTCCCTGGTGGGATCGGTTCGTCCCGTGCTTGAACAGGGGACTGGACTAGAAGACCTCTAAGGTCCCTTCCAACTCGCTTATTGTTTTTTTCTGTTTAATTATTATATTTATTTCATTTGTATTCTGCTTTTATTGTTTTGTATAAACACGGGTAGTCCTCAACTTACAAAAGTTCATCTTCACAGCACTGAAAAAAAGGGACTTAGGACGGTTTTTCACACTTAGACTGTTGCAGCATCCTGATCAAAATTCAGACGCTTGGTAACTGATTTATATTTATGACGGTCGCAGTTGATGGTCATGGGGTCACCAGGTACAAAATCCCCACTTAACCACCAAATATCTCTCAAATATCTCTAAATAAATAAAACAGTTGCAGGGACTGGGAACCTTGCAAGTCCCTCTGAAATGCACAGCATTTGAAAACCGATCCTTAAAAGCCAGTTTTAAGCAGACAGAAGTTATTCCAAGAATTCAGATGCCTGCAAAATTCACATAAATCTTATCCAAGGTTTTCAGCGAAGGTTTGTTATTGCACAAAAAAGGAACAAGGTTGGTTTCCAACTCAGAGGAGTCCAGAAAAAAACCCCAAATGTTCTGACTTACGCTTGGGGAAGCCGCCACCACCAGCTGGTGGATAAATTCCCACACCAGGCTAAACTGGTTGAGCCGTGATTTGTTCATCAAACCACAAAGAGTCACGAAGCCCCCCCCCCTTGCAAACCACAAGGGCAGAGTTCACACAATTCCACTTGGCTCCCGAAGTTTCTTTGAGTCCGGAACGGGAGGCTGTGTCTGCAAAACCAGAATCAAGGTTTTGGATCAGGGCTAGATTAACTACGGTTCCATAAAGGCAGTTCAGTCTAGCAACATTGGGTGGGGGGGGTTGGACTAGAAGACCTCCGAGGTCCCTTCCCACTTGGTTTTTCCGTTCTTCTGTTTCTGTTCTCCAAAAAACGGAAGCGTCACCAGGGCACATGCGCAGGGGAAGGAAGCTGTGGCATGGAAGCCCTGACAGGGAGGGCGGGCCACCGAATCAAACAAACACAAAGAGAACGAACCCCACCCACCCAGCTGTGAGTCTGGAATTATTGTGGTTTTCTGTTCTCACCCTTGGGATTTGAGGAGCTGGCTTTGCTACCCCACTTGCACACCCTGCTGCTCCCTCAGTGCAAATCCACACAGGCTGGGCTCTGACCCCCTCCCACAGCCCTCCAGATGAGGGTGGAGGAGACACACACACACACACACACACACACACACACACACACACACCCTGCAAGCGTGGCCATAATCCAATCAGACCCAGCCTGCCTCCTCTGAGACGCCATCTGGACTCACAATGAAAATTCAAGCTAGCTTGCAAAGCAACGGAAACCCATTGCCCATCACGCCCACCCCCACTGGGAATTCCTAGCCATGTGGTGCTCCCACCGGAAGGACAAGGACGGGAAAGCCAGCCCCCCCCCCCAGAGAAGCGGAGAGGGTCCACGCTGCATCTCCGCAGGAGTCACCGTTCTCCCATTGCATTTATTTATTTAGTATTTGTTTATTTGCCACCTCTCTCCTCTCAAAATGAATCTGGGCGGCTAGTTGAAGGCCTTGTCAGAGGCTACGACTGCCAAATCAAATGGGGGGGTCTCTTATGAGAGAAGAGGAATTCATCCCCCCCACCCTTAACGTTACTGGGGACATTCAACCAATTCTCTCATTGTAATCTCTTAGAAGGTAAAATAGTAGGGATGGAAAGGATAGAAGAGAATAGAGCTGGAAGGGACCTCAGAGGTCTTCTAGTCCAGCCCCCCCACTCAAACGGGGAAACCCCCTACCATTTCTGACAAATGGCTGTCCAGTCTCTTCTTAAAATCCTTCCGTGATGGAGCACGCACAGCTTCTGGAGGGAAGCCCTTCTGCCGGTTAACTGTTGTCTACTTTAAGTTTCTCCTTAATTCCGGAACAGACTTCAAAAGTGATTCCAAGATCAGGGAAGGGAAGGGAAGGGAGGGGAACGACTATGACATCTGCTAAGCGACGGAAGAAAGGTTTACAGTCATAAAAAGCAGCCTTTGTGTCCTTCCCATCCTCGGCCACACGCCACTTCCTGGAAACAAGAGTCCTTCCGACACACACACCGACACACACACCGAAAATATTTCATGAATCAGACTCAACCTTCGTCCAGGAAGGCCAAGCAGACCTCAGCCAGGGGGAGGGCAGGAAGGATGAGCCAGCTGCCCCTCCCTCTCGGCCCAGCTAGCTTCCTAATAGGTGACACAAAAGCCACTTTATCTTCACATTCTTTGGGAGATAAGTTGTTGAGGGCTGCACAAGGGGGGGGGGGGGAACACACTCCATTTGGCACCAGAAAAAAAAAATCTGTCCCCTCCCCTCACAGTGGCTTCTCCCAGGAACCAGTTTATGGGAAAGTCTGGAAACCAAAGGGGGGGGGAGAGGTGCTCCATAGCTGGGGAGGGGCTCACTTGAGCAGGAAGGGAGAGATTCCCCCCCCCCAGGCCTCTAGGGTGGACTGCGGGGAGAGTGCCCCCAACCCAGTAGCGCTGCGTTTCTCAACTGGAGCCACCTTAAAGCATGTGGACGTCAACTCCCCCAGCCAGAATATGAAGACTTCAACTCCCAGAATTCCCCAGAGAGCATGTGTGGACTTCAATTCCCATAATCCCCTGGCCAGCGTGAGGTTCAAAAAAACAACACTGAAAAAGTTTGCAGAAGAAACTCAAAACAATCCCACGGGGTTTAAGAGGAGTAAACAAACTTGCAAATTCCTGTAATCGACCATAAACAACATTTCTAAAATCCTGAATCTGTGAAATTTCTCAAGGTGGCCTACCTCAAAGGGCTGGCAGAGAGGTTGTGTTAAAATGAGACCATTCAGGTCAGCGATCCAGTTACAGTCAACAAACCGACAAGGACACCATCTGTTAGGTTGGTTTGCAAGTCCTGGCTAATGTCAACAAGAGGGTGTTTTGATAACCCAGGTTAGGCCTTGGGGGCTGTGTGAAGGGTTAGGCAAACCAGGGGAAAGATTTACAGACAATACAGCTGGGGGGGAAGGACCGCAACTGGCTACCACCCAAACTATCCATCCCCAAGGCACTCCCAGCCCAAGAGAGCGCTCGAGAAAAGCACGATGGGAGATGCAGTCCCCAAACATTAGAAGGATTCCAGGGCCAAGATGCTCCCCATCTAAAAGGGGATCCTGAGCACAGAAGCCATTTCAAACTATGTCGCACCCCTCACCCCTTTCTTGCCTCGACAAGATAACACAAACTGCATCCGGGATGGGAGCGATAGTCCAAATCCCGGCCCAAGAACTGCCGTTTCTCTGTTAACTCTCACACGCATTTCTAACTCTCTTCCTCCAGGGAGGCGTTTCGTAACCGGGCGCTCCCCGCGTAACTCGGGACCTCAGACCCAGAAGAGGGCAGGCTGGCTGGCTGGCAGGCAAGCATGGGCGCTGTAGTCCCAAAGGAGCCGGTCCCCCAAGCCAGGTTAAGTGAGCGGGTTCCCACGCGGGGCAGAGAACCTGATCGGGACTCCGGGAGGCCCGCAGACCCCCCCCAGTCTCCCCCGGGGTAGAAGGCGCGGAAAGGGGGGGGTCCGCGGGAGCCTCCCCCAAAAGGGCACCCAGAGAGGCGAGGTGAAGCCCCCCCGCGCCCAAGATCGGTGCCTGGGTAGGCTACCCCTGGATAGGGGGGCTCCACGGCAGGAGGAGACGGGCGACCCCCCTCCCCGAGGACAGAGACCCCCCCGCCGCCCCGCAGGCGCCCCCTCCCCGCCCGGGAGCCGCTCACCTGCCTCACCTGCCTGGCTCACCTGCAGAAGCCCATCCGCGCTCCGATCGGGGCCCGGGAGGGGGAGCAGCCGCCGCCCGCAGCCCCGCAGGCGCGGTGGGGCGTCCCGGGCGGCGGGGCGAGGCGAGGCGAGGCGGCGGGGCCGGGGCTCGGAGCCGGGGCGGCGGCGCGAACAATGCCGCCCGCCGTGCCGAGGAAGGCGAAGCCGGACGGGGAGGCGCCGGGCCGAGCCCCCCCGCCCCCTTCCCCCCGCCCCCACGGCGCTCATTGGCCGCGCCTCGCCTCGCCCCCCCCCCACGCCCGGCCCCCTCGCCTCCCAGCGCCGCCTAGAGGGTCGCCCCGGGACCCCCTTTGCCCTCCCCCCGCCGCCCGTCCCGGTTGCAGCCTCACGTTGCGGAGGCTGGGAGAGAAAGCGGCTCGGAAGGGGCCCTGGAGGTCGTCTAGTCCAGCCCGCTCCTGCCGGAGACTTGCGGGAGGGGGGAAACGGCTCCCAGGGGTCATCGGGCTGCTCTGTCCCCCGCACGGGGGTCCCAGTTAGAGGAAGAGGCTGGACGGGAGGTGGAGGTCTTCCAGGGCGGGGTCCTTGGGGCTCTTGCAGACCTTCCCTGGCCCAACTGGGGAAAGTCGTCAGTGGAGGCGATGCACTGAGGGTGTTGCCTAGTTGGGTCAGGAAACGTCTACTAACATTCTCCTTTGTTGGTGGGTCTTCCGGTCCGGCCCCCTGCCCGAGCAAGAGACCCTAGACTAGACCGTTCCTGATGGGAAATTAGGGGGAAATCCCCTCGCAGGCCCCTCACCCTCCCTCTCTTAGGGGTCTCAATTAGAACACAGAACAACAGAGTTGGAAGGCACTCAGAGGTCTTCTAGTCCATCCCCCTGCTCCAGCAGGAGACCCTAGACCGTGTTCACTTTTGTGCAGAAATAATAAAAGGGAAACTCTCACCTATCTGAAAAACTTCCTTCTCCAATCGCCTGGGATTCTCGTGGCAAGGTGGGCTGCCCCCAAAGGACGGCAAGACCCCTCCCCAAGTGCCAGGGCTGGACTCATGGCCTAGGGCGGGCGGGCTGGTGGCTCCAGCCCAGACAAAAACAAGGGTTTTTTTTACATTTTAGATACTTTTGGGAAAGCCGGCAGAAGGACCGTCCGTTACGTTCCCCTTTGTCCCCTTCGCTGGGCTTAATCTGATTAAGGCTGCTCCTCGCCTTCTGCACTACACGCCATAAGGCAGATGCTGGGCTTTTTATCTGCATGCACAAACACACACACACACACACACATTTGGGTGGCTTTTTTTTTCCTGCACGGCAACAAAAGCCAAGTTAAATTCTGGAGGGTCTGTAACCCACCCACCCATTTGAACCAGGTGGAATCAGAGGGAGGGTGGGGGGGCAGGGTTTTTTTTCAGACCTCCCCCAAAGAGGCCCTGATTTTCAGACCCCCTCCCCAAAAAACTTTCCAAATTGTAGTCCCTGCCCTCCCCCTCCAAATGACGCCCATCCCACATCAGGACTACGAACCCCAACATTCCCAGCTAACCCAGCAAGAGGGGGCTGGAATCTCCTTTGTTTTAGACTCAGCAGCCAACGTTTAGGGGGTCAAAGGTCACCCTCTGCCTTCAAACAAGGGGGGAGCTGCTCAAATACGTCCCCCCCCCTCCAGTGGACCAGGACAAAGGGCTGGGCTGGGAAAGCAAACAAAAAAGGAGAACCCTAAATAATACTTATATTTATTCTAGTTCCCGGTTTTATTTTTCCTTCTCCCCCCCCCCCAATTTGGAAGTGGGTTTATTTGACTTTTTCTTTCTCTCTGTATGTGCAGTTAAATCTTTGCAAAAATCGGAGAAGAAGGGGACACAGAACTAAATTTAAATGAAACTAAATTTAAGTTTTAACTAAAGTGCAGAAGGGACGAATTTTAAGTGTTAGACTTGCAGGTTGCTTAAGGGGACCAGAAGCTGGATCCTCCCCACACTGTGGCCGGCTCTTGCCCCACGGAATCGACGTGGGGCAGAGAAAGGAGCTTCTGAGGCTACCAATAACAGAATGACAGAAGAACTGAGTTGGAAGGGACCCTGGAGGTCTTCTAGTCCAACCCCCTGCTCAAGCAGCGTCCCAGAGTCATGCAATCACTTTACAAATCGTGGTCGTAAGCCGAGGACTGCTGTATGGGAAGAAATCGCACTCAAGGCCCAACTGGCATCTTGAAATCCGAAGGCGGAGGGAGGGCTGTATTTTCATCTTGTGGCCTCCAAACCTGGTGGCCACGGGTGCAAATTCAGCCTCCTGCTTCCAAGCAAGTGTGTTTCGTGAAAAAACCCCTAACTTGATTTGTTGCAAATGCGACTGGTTGGAGGGCTGGGGGGGGGGGAATGGGGTCTTTGACGCTTTTTCCAGATGTCTTTTCCTGTTTCCACCCAAACAGCAGCTGGAGGCGAGGGAAGGAGGGGGGAATGAAATGGGAGTTTGCAGGAGAGAAAGACAGCTGCTGGGACGGGGGGGGGGCAGGCGTGCCGCTGTGTGCCACCCCCAATTCCCTGCTTCTCAGCAGGACCCTCCCCTCCCTTGCATTTTGCACAAAGGCCTGTGGCTCCGCAAGTGGTATTGTTGAACCTGGTGAGGGGGGGATGCAGATTATCTAGCCCCCCCAGAGAATGCAGATGTGATGTCAACCCTCCTGAGGGGGGGCAACGCTGAAGTTTCGCTCCATTTAACTTGAGTGAAGGGGGGCTGGAAGCCGGGTCAGGGATCCAGCTGTGGGGTGACCCAGATAGGACAGCCCTATTGTCTCTGGGACAGCCGCCCCCCTCCCCCAAAATGGCTGGAGAGCAGACAAAAGGTAGCCGCTTCCACGCTTCCCAGCCCCCTCCCCACCCACAGACCGAGAAGGGGTAGCTCCCACAGCTCGGAGGAGAAAGGAAGCTGCAGAAAGAACGACAAAGGGGACCCCGTTTTTTCTTGGGGGGGCTGGAGCATCTCAAGGAGCCCCATTCTGCTTTTTCACAGTTGCTAGGACCCCCTCCTCCCTGTCAACGGCCCCTTTATTTCACCCCTTCGAACGGTCACTAAACAAATGGCTGTAAGTCAAGGACACTCCCCCCCCGTGCAGATAGTCCTCGGCTTTACGACCACAACTGAGCCCAAAATAGAGAGTTTTATAAGTCCCTCCCAACTCATAATCTTTGCCTCTGGGCAGCGTGTATTAAAAAATAAGGAACCCAAAGAGAAAGAAAGGAAGGAAGGAAGGAAATTACAGGCAGGCCTGGACATATGACAACTCATTTAGTGACCATTTAAAGTCACAACAGCCCTGAAAAAGGTTACTTGGGACCGGCATTCCCACTTAACAACTGTCGCAGCATCCCCGCGGTCATGGGAGCGAAATCTGAGTCCTTGGCGACTGCCGTGGAATTGAGTAGCATAATAACAGAATTGGAAGGGACCCTGGAGCTCTTCTAGTCCAACCCCACACTCAAGCAGTGTTCTGGGGTCACGTGATCACACTTGGCAACCTTCCGACTAGCAAAGTCAGTGGGGGAAGACAGATTCGCTTAACAACCACGTGATTCGCTTAACAACCATAGCAAGAAAGATCATAACATGGGACAAACTCATTTAACAACTGGCTTGCTTGGAATGGAACTTGTGGGTGTCCATTGTGGACTGCCTGAAGAGAACCACAATGACACACAAGCATGGAATCCGGCGAGGTGTGTCTCACTTCCAACGCACACACACAGCGTGTGGTGTGCTCGTGTTGGGTTAATCAAGTCCTCCCCATTTAGCCCAGGCCATCAGAGCCCATAATCCTTGTCCAAGTCTCCTCAGAGCCAAGGGTGCTGGCTTCTGCAGGTAGACTGCCCTGAATGGGGAGGCTCCTCCGAGTGATCCCCAATTAAGTTACTTTTTCCAGATTCCCGGGAAAAGAAGGAGCGCCTGGGCATTTCCTACCGTGTGGCGGGGGTCCGGTACCCTCGGAAGCCGGTGCTTTGGGAGGGGATGATGGAGACAGGCAGGCAGCCTCAGGGGAGAGAAGAGCCGGGACGGGGTCTTTCCGGGGACCCTCCATGGGCAGCTGCAGAAAGGAGAAGGAAGCGGAGACAAGCATCAGAAGAGAGAGTCCGAAAACACAAAGAAATCTTGCTGGACTGACAGAAGAGGATCTCTGTAGCTAGGGGCTGAACCATGGGGTCTGAGGAGGAGGAGGAGGATTGTGGGGTCCTGGGCACTCTCTGAGCTGCGTGGTTTTCCTGCAGACGTCTCCTGACCCAGCTAGGTGGCATCACCAGGTTAGCCAGGACTGATCTTATCTAGTTTGACCACAAAACATCTCCAAGGAAACCCCCACCCAGCCCAGAGAGCACCCAGGACCCCCCAGTTCAACCCCAGCTACAAACACCAATGACCCAGAGCAGGTTAGGTTTCCCTCACCGGAGAAGCATGGGGCAGCCATCCATCCTTCTGGAGCAGGGGTTGGATTGGATGACCTTAAGGGGCCCTTCTAACTCTAGATTCCAAGCAAGAAACTCCCTGGAAGTCAAGGGCAGACACACACACACACACACACCCTAGAGCTTATGCCCCTCCACCCTGCCCATACCCACCGTCCCAACGGGCGGCTGCAGCTGGAGGATGACCGCGGAGGTGTGCTGGAACTTGTGCTGAGTTGTGTGGTTCGGACACCCGGCGGGACGTCGGTCTGTCCGCTGCAGCCCCAGGGCAGGAGGGCCGGGGGGCCGTGGCGACGTCTGGCTGGAGTTCGGCTTGTGCTGGGGGGGAGACCGACAGGCTGGCAGGGGGGCCGGGGGGGCGCTGGGGCCGGGGGCGTTGAAGGCCGGCAGGTGGGGGGGGTTGGGCTGGAGCTGCTGCTGGATCACAAACTGGTGTGGGAGGGGCTTGGGCTGAGTCTGCTGCTGCGGTTGCGACTGAGTCTGGGCTGGGGGGTAGGCTGGAAAAAAAATCAGAAAAAAAGAGGGGGGAGACCATCACTTCCCCATCAGGAGTGCCCGAAGGAGAGAGAGGGAGGGAGGGAGGGCCTTGAACCCCAAGGAGACCCCTCCCCTGGTCCTTTCACCGCCCGGCCTCCCTGTGGCCCTGCCACTTCCGGGCGCCCTCACCTGGGGCAATCGGGGGGTGGGTGGGGGCGGGGGGGGCCGTCCGGCTGGGGCCGCTGCCTCGTCCGTCCAAGGGGGCCGCTGTCCCGCCGCTGCCGCCTGCCCCGCCCCCTTCGCCCTTCCTCAGGTGCTCGGGAAGCAGCTCAGCCCCGCCTTCCTTGGCGCCCTTCAGCTGGGCAGCTGGGCTGGCCGGGCAGGAATGGCCACCGTGGTTATTGGGGGCGGGCTTGATAGCCAAGGGGGGCTGCTGCTGGCTGGCAGTGGAGCCGAGCACCTGGCTGACCGCTTGCTGCGTCCGGAGGGCCGGATTCTGCACCTGAACACAAAGAGGCTCTCGGGGTCAGGAGGAGCGTCCGGCTACAAAGAGTGGGGCAAAACCCACTTAACAACGGTCTTGCTTAGCGGAGGAAACTTTGGGCTAGAGGAGGCATCAAAAGGACGGCTCCCTAGGCAGGTCTCCGCCTGGCCCCCGCTCCCCGGCCCCCTCCCCTTCTTACCTGGGGTGCGGAGGTGGTGGGGGGCTGCATGCCGTTGCTGGTCCCCTCGGGTTGGACGGTGGCGACGGTGGGGGTGAAGATGAGCTGGGGGGACAAAGGAACAGCACGGCCTAGGCTCCTAGCTACTTGCATTAAACTTGTCTGCTGGGCCTGAAAATCACAGCAAATGGATTCCCCCGTTGCTCAGCCCGGCCAGCCAAGCCCAGCAGAACACAGACCCACAGCCTTGGAAGGGACCTTGGAGGTCTTCTAGTCCAACCCCCGGCTCAAGCAGGAGGCCCTGGACCATTCTGGACAAAGGGCTGTCCGGTCTCTTCTTGGAAACCTCCAGTGACGGAGCACCCACAACCTCTGGTGGCCAGCCGTTCCACTGATTAATTGATCTGGGATTATCGATAAGCGAATAACAGAGTTGATCTCTTACCATCTGCGCCCGGAGATACATTTGCGCCTGGCTCGCACTCAAGGTCGGATTGCTGGTGTTGCCCAAAAGGACGGCTTGCTGGGCGATGCCCGAGGCGGTGGCGGCCGCAGAATTCGCACTCTGCGCCCGGTTGATGAGCTGGGCCGCTGCAGGGGAGGTGGCCAAGTTGATCTGGACCGAGAGATGACCGTGTCAGTGAGCCCAGCCGCATCTTAAGGAAAGGGGGGTACTCCCACCGGAGGGAAACTGAGGCAGACTCTGTCTTACCGTGGGCTGCTGAGGGGGGTTCTGGGTGGCCCCGTTGGAAGCGGAGGAGACGCCCTGCCGATTGGCTGCCATGCTTGCCTGCAAAAGGGGAGAGGGGGGAACCACAACGACATTAAAGTAGCATTCCTGCAAATCTATTAAATCTGATTAAAATTTATTGAATAAATAACGAAAACGAAACTCAATCAATTTTGGCTGAGCCGATACAGTTAGTCCTTGACTCACAACTGGTTCATTTACTGACCGTTCAACATTATGGCATTGAAAAAAGTCGTCATAAGTAATCAAAATTCAGACGCTTGGCAACTGATTCGTATTTATGACGGTCGCAGCATCCCGGGGGGAGGGGTTGTCACGTGACCCCCTTTGCCGACCTTCTGACAAGTCCACGTTGCTAACTGAACCACTGCAGGGGATTGGCTTAATAAGCTCGTTAAATGAGGCAAAACTCAAACGGCCTGCTTAGCAACGGAAGTTCCGCTGTGGTCGTAAAAATCGAGGACTACCTGCAGGGTTGAAGTACCTGTCCCAAAATGAGCATCCCTGCCCCTTTCCAACTTGGGCTGGTGCCCCAAGAAGAAGGCAAATCTTTCCTGGAGGGCTCCCCCCCCCGCCCCACAGATTTAGTCCCTGCCTTTTTCGGTGGTCTCTCCCACCCCCCAACCCCCGGAGCGACAGACCTGTTGGATGGCGGCCAGGCTCTGCAGCTGGCTGCTCCCCAGGTGTTGCTGCTGGAGCGCTGCCGTCTGCAGCATCAGGTGCTGCTGCTGGGCGGCGTACATCTGCTGCAAGTATTGTGCGGCTGTGTTGGGTTGCCGGTGCAAAGCCTGCTGGATCACCTGGCCGGGAAGCAAAAAAATAAGTTAGCAAACCCAGGAAGAGACGGTGGGCCACAGAGGCCCCCCTGCCCCCGCCCCCGGCACGGAAAGGGGCCTGCAAGGGCTTGTTCAAGACTCCGAAATTCTCACTGGTATTCCAAAAAGTAAGGAAGTGACACACATGTTCTTCGCCGTTCCACACGCCATTTGCACGCCTGACCTAAAACCCCTTGCAATTCTTCCACGGTGACTTACAACTCACAGCCCATTCGAAGTCACAATGGCGCTGAAAAAGGGACTTAGGACCAGTGCTTTTTTTGCATATATATTAAAAAAGGTGCCGGAACTCATACACGTCATACAACCCGTCTTGCCTACCCTACAAGGTTCCATCCAGAAAAGGTGCCGGGACTCCGTTCTGGGCATTCTATGACAAAAAAAGCCCTGCTTAGGACTAAATTGTAAACTGCGGTTTGCAAACCACAGCAGTGGCAGCTTTCTCCTTCTCCAGCACCCCAAACTTTGTGTTTTGCAAAGATGCTTACAAAAAAAACCTCAGAGAAAGTTGAGGTGTGTTCAACTGCACAACGCTTTGGAAATCTTGGTGTTTTGTAAATAGGCTTGCAAAAAAAAATCAAACTCCCAGGAATCGTAAGAGAAAAGCGGATTTTGAAAGGGTCGGTACCTAAATATCTTACGGCTTCCTCGCCCCCCTCTCCGTAAGTGGGGGGGAGGGAGAGGAGGGGGTCAGATCAAAGGTTAACCAGCCTCAATGAGGGTCTTAATGCTTTGACCTTGTAGGGGATTTGCAAGGGGTCCTGGGGGGGCTATCAAAAGGGGTCATCAATCACCTCCCTGACATGCTCACATGCGCCAGGGGATCAAAAAACGAATCCTTGATGCTCGGTGGGCAACGCTACTTAAACAATGTTTGTGTATTTTGTTTCCACAGTGGCACTCAGATTTTTTGAGGGGACACAATACCAATCTCTTCATTGGCAGGAAACGCTCCTGTTTTAAATTTGATTCCCCCCCCCCAAACCAATAAGGCTTAAATGATTTGGGGAAGGAAAAACCCACAGGATAGAACAGACAGGCAATCCTTGACTCACAACCGTTTGTCGTTTAGTGACCGTTCAAAGTCACAACGGCACTGAAAAAGGGGACTTTGCAACGTTCTTCACACATACAACCGAACACGAACCCAAATTAAACCGAAACCTGGATGGGGAATCCATGCAAGCTCTGGGGATCATCCCGAGGGACCAGCTGAGCCCCCCCCCCAGGATGAAAAGCATCCTCCAAAAGAGGTTCACAAACATCGCAACCTGACAACGCCATTCCCATGCTGCAGAGAGAAACCGAGAGTGTACCCACGCCTTCCCGGTTCTTTCTGACCAGGAAGCCCGTTCGGAATGGGATCTGGTGCTGAGCAGAGAGGCAGACTCCCCTCCAAGGTCGGCGTGAAGGCCATAAGATCATCCGGGCTGCTTCTTAATTAATTAACGTTATTTAATTACTTCTGCGTGGTTCATTAGCCCGTGTTTGTCAGATGGATGCACACCAGGCCACGGAGGGCCACTAGAGGGCGATATTTACCAAGCAACTCCAGATGAGACTTGGTATCACAGCACCCTGGAAGGGACCGTAGAGATCCTCTAGTCTAGCCCCACCAGAGAGTCGCAATCTAACTTTGATTCAAATGCCTCCAAGGTCAGGAAATGCTTCCCAGCAAAATCACCCACTTTCGGCCCTTTCCTTCTTTTCTGCCCCATTGATCGCTCCCAAAAAACAAATCTAGGTTAGTTGCGGGAGGGGGCGACGCGTAATGCCCTCCACCACCCCCTTTTTCCATGGGGGAGGGGCGCAAAGGAAGGACCTGGTAGAGGGAATCCCCCCATATCATATCAGAAGGTTGAGGAGTATGCAAGAACTTCATTTTAGGAAGTTGCCAAATTGGAACTCAAAGGTCATCTAGTCTAACCCGTTGTGAAGGCGATTGGTTTCATTCCAGAAATCTGGGGCTCCCAGTCACAGGCCTGGCTGCTCTCCCCTCACCTGGACGGTCTGGCGGTCGGGGATCCCGCTGTACACGGAGATGGGGGGGCCCGTCTGGCGCCCACCAGTGCTGCTGCTGTTGCTGGGGGCCGTGGTGGTGGTGCTGGTGTTCGTGGCCCCCGGGTTGCTGAGCGGCGGCGGAGTCTGGATCTGTTCATTCTCCATGATGGACCGTGCAGGGTCCCCGGGGAATGACGGCCAAGCAGATCCTGCAGGAAAGGAAAAAAGGCTTCATTCCCAAGTTCGAATCTCGCCTGCCTGACATACAACAGCCACCTTGTGGATGCTGCCTGGAAAGGAATCCCCACTTAAGACCCACAGCATTTGCAGGTTTAAATCCTTCCCATCTAAGTGATGCTCAGTCCACAATGAACACACACACACACACACACACACACACACGTGCCTTGATTTGGAAAATCACAACCTGACAATCTCCACAATGGCGAGGCTGTTGCTTCCACAGAAACCTTGAGGACTAGAAACTTGCCCAGTCCAATTAGATCAATAATTTTAGATAAACCAGAAAGCAACTCCACCCCATCCAGAAAACAGCAGAGTATAACACAGATCCCCCATCCCCATTGCTATAAGGACAATTATGGAAAAGAGGGTGGGGAGGTCTCACCCCCTGCTCCCCAACCCCCCAGCACTTGTTTGCCCCTTACCTTCAGGACCCTGCCATTTTCAGGAATTTTGGCATTTGCAGAAGGCGGGTGTAGTTGAGGGGGGGGCAAGACCCCCCTGGCAGTACCCCTCAATCTTGCACCCCTCACAGGGAGCTCTAGGGCATCCTGCACCCCCCATTGAACCCCGTCCCTCCAGGCAGATTCCAGCAGCCACACACGGACGCCCCCCCCCCCAGGGATGCTTGTGAGGCGATGCTGCAGAGGCTCTGCACAGCCAGTTTTGGGGAGGGGGTCTGTCTCAGGGGCTCATCCCCCCCACCCCCAAGCCTTTGTTCCACTCAGTCCCAGCCGGCATTAGATACTGGGAAGAAAGACGGGCGACGGGTGGGAACTAATTTCCTGATGATTATGGCATTTCCTAGCAACAGCCAATCAGGGCCGGCCCCTCTTTGCCTGCTGTATTTCATGCAAATAAGTTTTGGAGGGGTCTTCTCTCCCCCCACCCCTGTTTTTTAATCATGCCGGTCAGCCAAGCGGCATCACCAGCATTATTGCGAGAGACCAAGACGGGGATTTGCATGCCAGGGAATTCACGCCAGGGGGGCATGGATGGGGGATGCGGCAAAGGGGGCAGCAGGACCCCCACCCGCCAAAACTCCTTGGCAGACAGGGCGCCCCCTTTAAAAGCCCTCCCCACAGCAAAAATGGGCACCTTCGGAGATCAATTAACAGAATAACAACAGAATATAATAATAACAGAATAACGGAAGAGCAGAACAACAGTACAAAAGAATGATAGAATAACGGAATGATAGAATGACAGAATAAGAGAATAGCAGAAAAACAGAATGACAGAATAAGAGAACAGCAGAACAGCAGAATGAGAGAATGTTAGAATAGCAGAATAGAAGAATAACAGAACAATAGAATAAAATAGCACAGTAACAGAAAGACATAACAATAGCAGAATAGTAGAACGACAGAATAAGGGAATAGCAGAATAGTAGAACGACAGAATAAGGGAATAGCAGAATAACAGAACGACAGAATATCAGAATGACAAAATAATTGAATAGCAGAACAATAGGACGGCAGAGCAACAGAATAGCAGAGTAAAAGAATAGCAGAACAACAGAATGAGAGAATAACATAATAGCAGAATGACAGAACGACAGAACAACAGAGTTGGAAGGGACCTTAGAGGTCTCATAGTCCAACCCCCTGCCCCGGCAAAAGACCCTAGACCATTTCAGACCAATTCCCAGCCATGGCACCCATCCACTCCCCACCCCAGTTTTGCAGAAATAAATACCCACCTAGCAAGGTCTCTGGAGAGCCTGCAGATTCCTCAAAGTTTTGGGGGCGGTTCTGGGAACCCCGAGACGGGTTTCATCCCCCCCTCAGCTCTCCCCTCACAGTGGGACACGCGGAGAGGATGCCCACCCGGGTAAAAGCAGGGGGGCTGCATTAATTCAGACCACTGGAATAAGGAAACATTAACCCCCCACCCACCCCACCATAGCCTATTTATCTCCCCTAATTGTTTCATTTTTATGGCTGGCGTCGCCTGGAATGGCTTCCATTAACTGGCCACTCGGCCTGCGCCGCCAAATCTTCCCATATTGATTGTCGTGGGGAGTTGCTGGTTTCCAGCGGGTTCATTAGCATACCAATTAGCCATTTCAGGGAAGATAAAAGGGGGGGGACACACCCCAGACATAAACGGATGTGGGTTCAGGAGAGCTTTCCATGGAAGCTCCATCATCCCATCCTAAGACATCTCTGCAAAAGGGGGCACCCCGGATACTCACCTCATTGGAGAATTGAGCTGGTGGGGTGGAGAGGCATAGGACACACACACACCACACACACACACACACACACACATACGCGCGCGCGCACGCGCGCGCGCGGAAGCCCCCTTTTCTTTAAAACGAAAAAGGCCAGATACGAACAAGAGGAAGTTGTACCTGACGGCTGAGATATGGCTAGTCCTAAATTCCGTCCCTAAGCCAGGCAGCTGTTAAGTGGGTCATCCCTGCGCCCGATTTGACAACATTTTTGCCCATGGTTGTTAAGAGAGACGTTAAGGTCGCCAGTGGCCATCCCGTGAGCCTGGGACGCTGCAACTGCTGATTTTGGGCCTCTGGTTGTAAATTTTGCAAAAACACGTTTAATCTCGGACGGCCAGCCTCTTCCCCAGACAGGCTCAGCCAGCTGCTATTGCAATTTAATGATGATTAAACATCGGGGAAATTGATCGTAGTTCCCTGATCCAAGCCAGATGCTGCGTCTCTGCCTTTGTTTACATCATGAGAACATGGAGGGAGATGCTGAACATAAATATATATGTATTTATATATATAAATATATATACATATTTATACCCCAAACCTTTCCTCTTCAGCGACAAAGAGGTCAGGCGTAGCATAAGATCTCCAGTCACAAAGATGTTAGCATTAGATTGCGTAAGGAAAATTAAAATTAATCCAGCTCTATTCTGATTGATTGATTGAAATGGTCTAGGGTCTCCGGCTTGGGCAGGGGGTTGGACTAGAGGACCTCTGAGGTCCCTTCCAGCTCTATTCTGATTGACTGAAATGGGTCTCTGGCTTCCGGACTAGAGGACCCCTTTGCATTTGCACTCCAGTGGCAAAGAGCTCCCCCCCCAAGAGACCCAAATATTTATAAAGGCCTTGCTAATTCACAGCCCTGTTTTTCCCGCAGTCCCCAAAGTGGGTGCTGGGACGTCCGCGCACCGGTCTTCTAGGCGCCACGGCGTTCTTTGTTGTGGTCCCTCGGTGCACAGTAATTAGCTTCCCATAAAGGGGGGGGGGAAGCATTTGGAAAAAATTAAAAATTCTCTCCCCTCCCAGTTCTAAATCTTATCTCTGTTTCATTTAATCCCACGTGTCACTGCAAGCTTAGTCTTTGTATCTATTTCTCTCGTGTAAATTTTGGGTTTGCTATTTGTTTGTTTTTATTTTTTTACTTGCAGTTTTCTTGTTTTCTGATGTTTGGTTCAAAGCCAATCTTTCTAGCACAGAGGTGTCCAATTTTGTCAGCTTTAAGATTTGTGCACTTCAGCTCCCAGGATTCCCTGGCGATAACACGTTCCTTTTGGTCTGTATCCCCATTGCATGCCTGCTTACTCTTTTATGCTCCCTTCCTCTGCAATCTCTCCGCTCCAGGAAGTGGGAGAAAAATAAACAGGCATGACTGACTGGGGAATTCTGGGAGCCGAAGTCCACAAGTTCTAAAGTTGCCAAGATTGGACACCCCAGTCTAATATTTCATGACGACAGCAGCCTATGAATCCCACAGTCCCCCAACTGGATAAGAAGCCTGGGATATGTAGTCCCAATCCCTCCGGAGGGCCCTGACAATCAAGGGGGGCTTGGATGCAGTTGGGGATGGTGAGGCTTAGAGCAAGTAGCTGGCCGAACACACACACACACACACACAAGAACTTTGAAAGAGGGGCTTTCCAGTCCATTGGCCTGTGCCTCATTTTGAAACAAATACACAACACACAAGCTAGGGCAAATTCTCGGTTTCTGCTTAGCCACAAACCTACACATACACATATGGGTTTCAGGAGATGGCATAAGGAGGGGGCCTCTCTGGTAAAGAACAAATGGGGATGCACCGTTCAGCCAGGGGCAGGACAGGGATCCCCATTGGTTGCATATTCATCAGCGGAACTCCTTGCCACAAGACATGTCATGCAGGAAAGGCAACAGAAAAACGCAGAAGAGTGACACCTCTCTGACACCCTTCAGGAACTTTGAGACAACAGCCCTCCTCATTCCCTGCTGCTGGGAACTCTGGGTATTGTAGTTGGAGACCTCTAAAAAGAGGGTTCAAGATTCTCTCCTGGTTTTGCAGAGCTGGAGGGAGCTGTGGACAGCTCCTGGGCTTAGGAAGGCAGGATGAATTCTCCAGGGTCAGTCAGTGTCTACCCCCAAATGCCAGTGGTCAGGTGGCAAAAGTCGGTGGGCATCTGTTAATCTGCAGCTCCTTAGATCTCCAAAGCAGCCTCTTTTGGGGGTGGGGGTCAGTCCCCCTTCCAGACTCTCCCACTGCACAAGGCCACAAAATCTGGGGCTGGAGATTTGGGGACCTCCCCAGGGGCCACTCACCCCCCTCCAAATCTCCTCCTCCACCGATTGCTAGGACTGTCTTTTATGGAGAGCCTCCCGGTTCAAGAGCAGTCTTCCTTTGCGAGGGGAGGCCCCTATTCCTTTCCCCCAGTTGCTGCTCATCGGCTACTCTGGCCAGCCCCCGCCTTCTGGACCTCAACTCCCATCATCCTCCCCCCACTAGGGACGGAAGCCAATCGGGGAGGGGGTCGCGCCCCCTTCCGCTCGTGCAACCCACCGCCCCTCGGCGGAGCGCTGCCAAAACCGGCTCGGTCGAAGGAGGGGGAGGTTCCTCGGCCAGGGCAGAGATGGGGACCCCTCTCCCATTATCCCTTCCAGCAGACAGCCGCGGCCGATGGGAATCGGAGTCCCCGCCAGGGAAGAAGCGGGAATCTATGCCCGGCTAAGAGCGGAAGGGCGGCCGGCCAGATGTGCCACGACCCCGAGGAGCGGACGATGCAGCTGGCAGTCCCGTCCGGACGCCTCTAGGGGGGCGAGGGGCGCCTCTGGCTAATGACCCCCCCCCCGCCGCCTGCCTTGGCCGTGCCAGGCCCGGAGCAGCAACCCGGCAGACCCCGCAGACCCCGCCGGGCCGCCCCAGCCCAGGTGATGGCGCGGCCCTCCTCCCCCGGGCGCCCTGCCGGGGCTTACCTGCCCTGCCGGTGCCCGCGCAGCGGCCAGCCAGCCCGGCCAGCCGGAGGCGCCGCAGCCCGACCCCCGCCGCAAAGCGGAGCAATGCCCGGGCTCATTCCAGCGGCCGTCACGTGCGCGCCCCCGCCAATGGCAGCCGCCCGCCTTCCCCCCCCCCGTCCTGGGACTCACTGGGGAGGGAGGCGTGGAGGAGGAGGGGAGAAAATGCCAGGCATGACCCAGGCGGTTGCCATAGCAACCAAAGAAGGGGGGGTCCCCGCCTGCATCGCATCCTCTGGCTGGAGAGTCCGGGACCTAATCGAGAACGGAAAGGGGGGGGGCGCGGCAGATCGGGGCGCAAATGCAGGGGGAGCCCGCAGAAATGCAGAAGGAGGCGCGGGGGGGGGAGACCGGGCTGAGCGGGCGCCAGATGTGGGGGTGCGGCTGGACGGCAAGGCAGGTATGATGGAGGGGGAAGGGAAGGGGTGGGAGAACCCTGGGGAAAAGCAGCCTCCGTTGTTACCCAACGACGATCCTGCAGAGTAGGCGGGGCAGGGAGGCAGTGGGCATCCCTACTGATTTGTTCATATGACCGCCTGCCCAGGTAGTCCTCGCTTGTGACCGTTGGTTTAGGGGACCGTTGGTTTAGAGAGGGGATTTAGGACCCATCACTTACATGGGTGACTCCATTTACGACCATGACAAGCAATCTCCGTGACGGTCGTAACCCGAGGATTACACGTAATCCTCGATTTATGACAGTTCATTTAGTGACTCCATGAAGTTCCAGCGGCACTGAAAAAAGTGACAGGACCGTTTTTCACGCTTAACGGTCGTGTGACTAACTGAACATCTGTAGTGATTCGCTTAACAACTGCGGCAAGAAAGTTTGTAAAATGCAGCAAAAGTCACTTAACAACGGTCTCACTTAACAATGGAAATTAACAGCCTGCTAAAAGAATTTAAAAAACAATCCTTTTAATTGGCTTCTAATTTGCAAAGGACTAGCAGGGTGAGGGGCCGTGCAAAGACCCCCCCAATGGACCCCCAATTTGGCTCACATGAAATGCCCTTGCATCTATCTATCTATCTATCTATCTATCTATCTATCTATCTATCTATCTATCTATCTATCTATCTATCTATCTATCTATCTATCTATCTATCTATCTATCCTGCCAAGGTTGACCACCAGGTGGCGCCAGAATACTTTCATAGCCAGTTAAAGGCTGGTATTTTTCTTAGCCTTTGAGCTCACCTGCCTTTCCAAAAAAAACCCCACCTTTTCCTCCTTTTTTTATTTCTCTTTTTTTTGCAAAGGGGTGAAAATCAGCCCCCTCCCGGCAGAGAGCAGAGGTGGGGGCAGCTCTTCCCAGCTGCAGACCCCTGTTGGGGAGTTTCTCCAGGCGCAGGAGCGTCTTAGACCCTCTTATCCGGATCTGGGTCTCCCGCTGTCTTTGGGCCCGGCTGGCGACCATGGCATAGATGGGCATCCTTCACCCATCTCGGAGCCTGGCGCTGCTCGGCTGCTCAAGGTCGACCCGATAAGCCAGGATGGCAACTGGACGCAGCTGCCGGCCTCTCCCACGTTTGGGGAAAGGAACAGATAGCAAAGGAACAGGAGAAGCAGAAGATAGCAGACGTGTCTCTTCAAGGCCGCAGTGACTGGAACCCAGCTGAGATTTTGACCGGAGTGTCTCTGGCCTGTGGGACGGGGCTGAAGGGGGGGCACCAATTGCTCGCCCTTGGGGTCTCCTCTGGTGGCATCGGGCAATGCCACCCGTCCCGGTCCTTGAGCAATTTCCAATGAAATCTGTCCATCTCAGCAGATTTTGGCAGCCAGACAGTGCCCCAAAGCTGCTTTTCACCCTCCCAGGATGGGGGGAGGGGGGCGGCAGAGGCTCTGAAGGCAGCGGGGCATAATAGGCTTGGGGGGGGGGCTCCCCATTCATAAGCCGACCCAGACGGGGCCTCACGTTAATCAGAGTTAATGAGGATGATGGTTGCAGAACTGCAAAGTTGATGGGTTTGTGGGGGGGGGGTTGGTTTTTTTTGCAATTTGGCAAAGGATCAGAGAGCATTGCTGGCTTTTTGTGTGTGTGTGTGCAGGCGTGCAAGTATATGTGTATTTGTGCATGTGTGCACATGCAAATGTGTGTGGCGCCCAGAGTCAGCAAAGCTGCAAATGAATGGTCAGTGAAGCTTCAGCAGCCTGACTCTTTCCAGACAGCTCTTTGGGGGGTTTGGTATCCACCGAAAGGGTCAAGAGCTGTGAGGGGGGGCTTCCTTCACCATCCACAAGTGTCTGTGTGTCTGTGTGTGTTTCTGTAATTGCAGGATTAGTGAATTAGTGCCAAGAATCTGTTAATTCTCAAGTAATTAAGGGGCCAGGAATAAAAAAGGCCAGCTCCGTTCACGCCTCCTTTCCCCAGAGTCTTAAAGCAAAATGCACCCCCCAATCTGAGTGAGAATCTGGGGGTGCAGAGAGGGGGGGATGCAAGCCCCCAATTCTCTAATCAGCATTAAGCTTCCCAGCAAAGATGTGAGGCTAATGCAACAGTCAATTTTCTGTAGGATCGTGGGATCAAAATTCGGGTGCTTGGCAACTGACCTGTACTTATGACGGTCGCAGTGTCCCATGGGGTCACGTGATCCCCTTTTGTGACCTTCTGGAAGCAAAGTCAAGGGGGAGGCCAGATTCACTTAACAACCCCTAAGTGGTGGGAGGGAGGGAAGGAAGGAAGGAAGGAAGGAAGGAAGGAAGGAAGGGAGGGAGGGAGGGAGGGAGGGAGGGAGCAGGCCTTCCCAGTGTTCAGCTGTTTCCCTAAGTGAGTTTTCCATTGTGTGGCAAGCCAGCCAGGAGGGGGCTGTTTTCAGAGGCCCCCCTGCCTCCAGTGAGGCTTTCAGCCGCAGAGCCCCCTTTGTGCGGGCGCATTCCTCCATGCGCTTCGCCAGGCCAGGGACAATGGAAACTGCCAGGCTGAGCGTTTCCGCTTGACTCTTCCCGGCTGCCCTGCCAGCCCCCCAACCCTCTGGGCGACTCCGATTTGCACCGTCAGTGGATTCCCAAACAGCTTTCGAACCCCTTTAGGGGGGACCCAGTTCCTCTCCTGCTGCATCGGTCATAAGTGTGAAAAACAGTCCTAAGTCCCTTTCTTCAAGGGACCATCATTAAACAGGTCGTCGTAAGACGAGGACTTCCTGTGAAGTATTTGGCCCTTGCCAGCAGCTAAAACTGTACAGTGTACAGGAAACACACGAACTTAAAATATTGAGAGACGCCCCAGAATATACCAGTTTGGGGGGGGAGGGAGAGAGTTTTTGCAAGAAAAAGAGGGGAAAACCCACTTTCTCTCCAGCTGAAGAATTCGGGGTGAGGGCTGCTTTGCTCAGACGGAGCGGTTCCCCTGGGCGAGCAGGAATTTTCACCTGGGCTCGGCAGGCTCCACCCTGGCCAAAGGGTGGATTGTGGACCTTGAGTAATATTTACTCGCTGAGTAACAGATCAGTCATCCTGTAGTAGAGACAGAACGTGCCATGTTGAGTGAGTTTTCTAAAGAGATTCAGGAGCCTGGTGGGGTCTAAAAGAGCAGGGAAAGGGATGAGGAATGACGGGATCACAGAGTGGAAAGGGGCCCCCGGAGGTCTTCTAGTCCGACCCGCACGCCCAAGGTGGTCATTGACTTGCAATCCATTCATTTAGTGACCTTTCAAAGATACAACGGCACCGAAAAAAGGCACCGAGGGCTCATGACAGTTGCAGCATCCCCTGGGTCACGTGGTCAAAATTCAGAGGCTTGGCTGCTGACTCATATTTACGACGGTTGCAGTGTCCCGTGATCCCCTTTTGCGACCTTCCAACAAGCAAAGTCAATGGGGAAGAAGCCGGATTCTCTTAAGTGTGTTATTAACCCTGGCAGTGATTCACTTAATAACTGTGGCAAGAAAGGCTGTGAAACGGGGCAAAAATTAACTTCGTGTGTCTCGCTTAGCAAGGAGAGTCGGGGATCGTCCCCGTGCTATCCTGGACCAAAGGCTGTAGGAGAAAATCTCCCTGCATTTTGCAAACGGGGGGGGGGTCAGGAACGACCCGCCAAACCCTGACGCTCAGAGGCATCCGATTATTTTTCTATCTTCATCTTCCAGTTCAGAAGCAGCCATGGGAAAACGCTTGCCCAGATCCAGAACCATTGACCCTTCAAATCCTTCCAAAAATGTTTCTTCTTGGCTAAAATAAATAAATAGGCTAAAAAAGATATCTAAAACAATAAATGAAATAAAACGTTTAGCTCGCTCTGGCCGGTGTGATTTTCACCCCGAGAAGCTATTCTGCTCTACGGACAGCTGAAGTCAATTCCAAGGCGAACTTAACCCATTCAAAAAATAAAAATAAAATAAAAATCAGCCAAGCCTATTTTGGGGCATAAATGTAAGACCGGTAAGAGGTGGAAGCCCAGGCATGGCCAGGGCGAATCCGCCAGCCTGCCTGAACGCAGGGCAAACGGGGGGGGGCGAGGGGGGGAATGACAAATCCCCTTTGCAATGTGCGGCTGGCAGAAAAACCATGGGGCTGTTTGTTTCCCCTCCAACCTGTTTTCCACTCAGTTTGATGAAAAGGAGGTTTTGTAATTCTACGATTTTGCGAATGCTGCAGGGAACTCACTGAATAACAAGATAAGAGTGCTGGAAGGGACCTTGGAGGTCTTCTAGTCCAGCCTCCCCTTATCTCCTCCTGGACAAATGGGTCCAAGGCCAGCTCCGAGCTCCTCCATCTTCTCCTCCCTTGGGAAAACCTTGGGGGGG